GTCAATTGAATTTAAATTTAAAGTACATAATGGCCAAGTGAAGGAGATGAGAGGAGAGGAGAGGACGGGGGCAAAGAGAGGATGGGGGAGCTTAAGGGGAGATCGGGCCAGAGAGTGGTGAAGGCAACGCTGCCGCCTTTCGAATTTCACAAAGTCATCCGAGTGGTTTTTTTTTTTTTTTTGCTGTGGGGGCCTCCGACTCTTTGTTGTTTGTGTGGGATTCAAGTCTATATGTATGTATGTATGTATGCATGTATTTATGTATGTTTAAGTGATATGTATACATATTTCATGTACAAGGCCCAGGCACGCAAGGCTTTGAGTCTTTATACCAAGATATATCCCATGTGTAGTTGTGTCCGTTGCTCTTTTGATTTAAACGTGCTTAAATTTAAAGATCAAATTGCTTTCGTTTCGTCTGGGCTTTTTTTGGGGTTGCTTCCCATTTGGTTTGGTTTTTGATATCAACCAGGAATTTTGAATTGTAGACAAGAAAAACCGCAATAGTCAAACAAACAAATAACGCGTAAGCCTCCGCCTTCGTCCATTCGAGGTGAGTCAGTCATTGAAATGTCGCTTTTTGTTGGCGGATATGGCTAGTAATTTGTGTTTAGAAAGCCAAAGTCGAGTGCCTCCACAGCCTCTGACTCTCTGACACATATACTCGTATACATTTTAGCATTTCGCCCACCGTTCGCTCGGATTTGAATTTCGCTGGAAAAAATGATTAAGTGATTAGTGGCGACGAAGCGCGGGGGCAATCGAAAGACTTAGGCAACGAACCTCGTCTCTAACCTATTGACAGTCTGCCGCTCTTTCCCTTTGCAAGCCACCTCTCACTTGCAACGAGGTTTATTTTTTGTGTGTTTCTGCCTAAAAATTTGCATTGTTTGCCAACGTTTCGACCCCCCCGCTTGTTCCTGTCCTACCGATTTGTCTGTCTGCCCGCCATGAAAACGTGAGATGAGTCGTAGCTCCGTTGCCGGTTCGTACTGCCTGGGAACGTGCAGAGAAAATATTTGACTCTTTATGCCTATATACAGATATGGATATATAAATATGGCAAAAGTCTTGTGTTGTTTGCCTTTCAGTGTGTGGCAGGGAATTGTGGGAAAGTGTGAGGTTCTGGGCGTACCTCCCTGACAGCTTATTGATGAAGTTAGATGAACTTGAGCTGACCAAAGGATTGATGGATGGCAGGGTATCATTTATGGTTGGGTTATAAGTGTTGGACAAAGCTAACAGATTTTCTCTATATCTAAGTAAAGTTCTATATAATCTACAATGAAATATCCCTCTAACACAATTCATAATAAAGCAACCAAATTAAAATTAAAATATATCTCCATAGCAACTGAATAAAAGCTAAAATCCATAATGCTATTGTTGAATTAAGTTCCCTAAGAGCTTAAAGCCATGTTAAATGTGTCCATTCTCTTTGAGCTGAATCTATCTATCGGTTTCCAGATCATTTCACAATTCAAAGACCTGCCAGAGCCATTGTCCGCTAGAGTTCCAAATGGTCGGGGTAATAAGCATATGCCAGCGGAAACCAGTTGTCCTAACTAGCCAAGCCCCTGTGGTGGCAATAATTTACCCCGACCCCGCACCTAAGCCAATACGCATAGCCAATGGACCATTGGCTAGAACCATATTGCCCCGCTCTGGGCACTGTTCTCTATTGAGCCACAGCCAGAACTAATAAAAACTCATTAAACCAAACATGTTTTGGCTCAAACAAAGGCTTTTGCCTATTCCCATTTTGAATAATCTCCTCCACAGATGCAGATACAGAACAGATATACTATTGGGTAGAATATAAACGAAGGTGGAGAAGTAGAAAAAAAACCCAAAAAAGTCAATAATCTGATGGCGGGAAGGAGAACCAGAATCAGAATGAGAATGAGAACGAGAATGGGAACGAAGCGTCGTTCAATTAAAAACAAAAATCAAATTAATGAAATGAAAATAAAAATAAATTAAGCAGCGTCGAGAGCAGAGCAAGAGCCAGCCAGCCCCAAAGAAAGCCACCAAACCGACAGTCAACCGAAAAGAGAGAATAAAATGATAACTTTTCAGTTCGAGGCGAAACTGTACCCCCCTGTTCGGCATCGGCATCGGTGGATGGTGTTGTTGCTGCTGCTGCTGGATGGATGGTCATGATGATGCTGCGTGGAAGAGGCGGGTAAAAGCGTACACGGGACCAGAACAGAACAACGCAGAGCACAAAAGGTGGTTCGGCGGGGCCTGGCCCGAAGTTCAACCGGCAAATGGCCAAGATCGATACAATTTTTTTGTTCGTTGCTGTCGGGTTTTGGGCATTAAAAAGTCAGAGAACAGTAACAATGCCGAGTCACACACAGACACACAGATGCAGATACACAGCCACAGCTTCAGAGATACAACACAGACACTGATGCAGAGATATACCCCAAGAGAGAGTGGCAGCAGCAGTGGAAGAGGCAGAGACAAAGTTACCTTTCGGTTTGTCAAGGGGGAGACAAAAGGCACTGGAATGAGAACAAGATCATTGCATTTTTGCTTGCTGGCTGGCTGCTGCCTCGGAGCCAGTTTCGCCCCAGCCTCGGCCTCAGCCTGGTAACAAGTTTGACTGAAAAATTCTAAAAATAATGCCGGCCGGTTTGTCGTTTCAAAAAAAAAAAAAATCAAAATGAAAAAAACAAAAAAGGAACAGAGAAAACGAAAAGAAAGAGTGAGCCCAACATGCATACACAGATCAGCTCTATAGATGTTGGTTGTACCTCTCGTTTCTGTTTGTGTGTGACGAAAGAAAAAATAACCAAAATGAGTAACATTTTCAAAGGAACGGACAAAGGATGCAAGGGTCCCAGAGAGTCGGAGCCAAGAGCCAAGAGGCAAGAGCCAAGTGCCAAGTCACTCGTTTCAGCTTACAGGCAGCTGCAATCCCTCCAGGGCTGCGATATTGCCACACAAATCACAGGTGATTTCGTTAACAGTGATTTTGTTGGCTGCTGAGAACAGGGGAAGATTAGAACTAGAGATTACTTCGAGATCTTTTGGTGGACATGTAATTACCATAAACTCCATCAATATACCTAGAAATAATAACCCTTACATGGGTTATTCCTATATGGATATATAAAGGTTGAATTTGGATCGCAACTCAATGTTAAATGATCTTTTTTTGTATGATAGCGAAGTTAATGTTTTCACATAGATACTCGTACTTTGTTTGTGTATTAACAGCGACGATCTGATACTCGTAGTAATTTTCCTAAAATTATATCTATTCATATTCAACCTACATAAATTGTATCTATCCAGTATAGAGTTCAGGTATAGGCATTAAAGCTGTGATTTTCTCTCAAGTTATTCCCAGTGACTTGCCACTCCAGCCCTGATGCTGTTTGATGTTGCATCTTAGACCTTCAGATCCGAACACAGCACCAATCCCAAAACCCCATCCCTATCCGGACCGGCCCCGTGTCTCCGTCCCGTCCCTGGGCCCTGATGATCATGACGCTGCTAAATGTGCCTGGATGGAAGAAGGTGGTGCCCGTGCCCAGTGCTCAGCATGGGGGTAGCGTGTCGTTGGTGTAGTTGTCGTACCATACCCCATCTCTTAACGTTTGTTTGCAACAAGTAACGCGCATCTGTATCTGTATCTGTCCCTCGGTCCCTGTCGTTGCTGTTGTGTCTGTGTTTGTTCTGGCAAAGAGTTGCTTGCTTACCTGCCCGGTTGTGCGGCTGTGGCTACCTGCGCACAGGTAGGCGTATGCATGTACGTATGTATCTGTATCTATATCTACATATATCCTTTGCTTCGCCTCCGCCATGGATGCAGCAGCAGCAGCCAAGCGGTCAGCAGAGGCAGCGCAGCATCAGCAGCAAACCTTCATTATTATATGCTCCCTACATACATATATGTACATGTATGTATGCATTACATAGGGAGAGGGAGCCTTTTATATAAGGGCCAACACAGATTGTGATTGTGTCGCTTGGTATGACTTGGCAACTTGCTCTCGGACCGGGCCATGGGCATGGGCATGGGTAGGGGCATTTGGTCTTGGACATGGGGTAGCTAGGCAGGCGTCTGGGCCTTTTGCTTAATGGTTTTAGGAAATCGAAAATTAAATAATTTATCTCGATTTTATGACGTTACAAGCAGGTTTGTCTCCCTATCCCCTCCCCCTCCCCCTCCTACTATAAAGCATCCCTTTGAGCACGCGATAAATCTTCAGCTTAAAATCAAAAGAAATAGAAAGATGTGATGCTTTTAAGTCGCATGTAATTTGAATGGACGCGACCGCGCTTCTAATGCCTGCCATAAAAGAAATGCTTACCCAGTTGGTCATCAGTCCCAGAACCAGAACCAGCAGCAGTACCAGACCTATACCCAGACTGCGACTCAGCCCACGCTCTAATCAAAACTCCCAAAATTGAATCAGCCGCGTAGAGTGGGGGCTATTTTTAAACGCGTCGACTCAGCTCATTCGTTATGTTTCTACTCTGTTTTTTTTCCTACGAGTATTTGGCTGGTCATCGCTCTCGAGTGTTTCGCTTCGAGTCGAGATTGATTCGAGAAAGGTGCAGAGAAAGTGGTAAAGAGGCTGCAGCTAGTACCTGGAGCTGGATGGACTTCAGCCAAGTGGTTTGTCATTGTGCTGCTGCTGGGGCTGCTGGTGATGCGGGAATGATGTCAAATGGGGGCCAAGGAGTGTTGGCCGATGGCCGGTCGGTCGGTTGGTTAGTCGCATGTGCTTGCATCGTTAGCAATTGATGGAAAAGTTTTCGTAGTAATGTGCGGATGGCAGATGGTACAGTTTTATAATGGAAGATACTTGTAAGCAGATAGTTTTGTGGTCAGTTAATGTCGTTTTCAGCCGCTACAAATGAAGATAATGTTAGAGATAGCATAACCCGGCTTAAATCTACATCAAATCGCAGTCGTTAAGACCACTCCGAGACTCTTTCGAGTCCAAACCACAGGCAACACAGGCAAAACAAACTAAACAGCTTGTCAATTCTACATTTATTTAGCCTATGCACTAAGAAACAACTTTTGGGGAGAACCACGATGCATCTCTGCCTGCGTTTTAATATAAGACAACCTCCTCGATGCCGTACCAGGCAGTGGAATACATGGATCGCGTCTCTCGCATCTCCACAATCTTCGTGAGCAGCGGCAGAAGCGCCGCCATATCGAATATGCTGTCCCGATAGAAGGCCAGTAGTTCTGACCATTTGGTGAGGGTTTCCAGCAGCTGTTCATCTTTGGAGATGGTCAGAACGGTAAAGTGGGATGTGAGGAGTGAGCCAAACCATTGCAGGGCCTGCGATTCCGTTTGCACCAGCGATGCCGCGCGATTGGGTCGCTCCTCCAGCTGTGCGCTAGGTTCACTGGCCAGAACAAAAAGGTGATTCAGCAGATACTGGACATGTGAGATCTGCAGACGCTCCTGCAGATGCGGCTCAATGGCGCTTCGGTCGAAGCTGCAGGCCAGCACCGCATTGAGGAGCTGGTCATTGGTCTGATCCGTTTCCATGGGCACTTCTTGCGAATGGCCATTGATTTCAGTGGGATTCGGTGTGTTATCCAGGGCGTAGCGCAAGCACCAAGCCAACATTTTCTCCGATATGTTGCTGTACCGTCTCAGGCACATTAGGACATGTTCCGTGTTCTTGGTCTTGATGAACAACGTCAATATCTTCTCTATAATCTCCTCCTCGCCGGCACCGCTACGCTCCAGCTGCCGCACCAGGGCCTGCACAGCCGTGTTCATGGGTCCCTCATCGAAATAGTTTGTCATCAAGGTAACGCTCACATCGTCCAAGCCACTTTCGCAGCTAATCAGCTCGCCATGGACATGCTGCTTAATGAGCTCGCTCATCTCCTGCTCGAACAACTGCGGAGGATCGTAGGCCACCTTTCTGCCATCGGCTACCGATACTTCCACTGCAGGCACCTTCTTTAGATTGGCCTTCAATTTACCATAGCTTTGTTGGTGCTTCTTGTTTCCAGCAAACTTGATGGCCGACTCCAGAGTGTCCTCCTCGTTGATGTGGTCCAGCTCAATGGTGTTCAATTGCGTGTCGCTCGACTGGGAGCCCAGCATGTCCACGAGTATTTCACTGCTCGTGCGGTAACGAACGGCAGCTATGTTCTCGCCCATGGCCAGGAGGATGTGCTCGTCGCGTGCCCACAAGCGGGAGAATTCCAGATACATTTTGAAGTACTGCTTGGCATTGACCACCTTGAACTGGGTGTTGTAGACCAACAGCGAGGCGCCCTCCTGCCCATAGTTGGCGCCATAGATGGCCGCAAAGTTGCGGGAGACGCCGTGCACCGACAGCTTCTTCTCTACGTTCAGATCGGCCAGCATGGACACATATTGCCCGGGTGATCTTTCTGAAGTGCGCTCGGCGAGATTTAGCATGAAGATGCGCTTGTCGGACCCTGCAAATGTTCATCGTAAAACAGATTCTGAAATGAATGATTTACTACTCACAAATGGTCAGCATTTGGGGCGCGGCATCGCCTTCAACAACTGCATAGCCGGTAAGCCTCACCGCTTCCCGTTCAATGCTGTATTCCCGCCGGTTGGACGTTGCCAGTGACAGGCGGATGAGCTGAAGTACGCCCGTGGCTTTGGTTTCTTCGAAATATGTCAGCACCTGTTGGCCCTGCGGCATTGTGTACACCGTGGGCTTGCTTAGGGCCTTGCTGGCAGCCAGGGCCAGCTGCTCGGCCGTATCCTCTTTCTGATCCTTACGCGAGGCCAGGGCCTGGGAGAGAGTTTGGCAGACGCCATCGCTATAGAGGACCAGAGCCTCTTGATCTGTTTCCACCAAATGGGCAATGCTTTTTTGGAACTGGAAGCATAGAATTTGTGTTGTATATGATGGGATGGTCTTGTGGATATTCCCAAAATACCTTTAGCTTCTTGCACTTGGAGACATCGGCAGTATCCACATCCCAAATGCGGAGCGAATGATTTCCAAAAACTCCCACATAATGCTGGCTGCTGGGATCGTATATCACCTTGGCCGACAGTTTCTCTGGCAAGGACCAGCTCAACAACTGCTTTTTGTGTACTAATCTGCAAGGCAATCCATATAAATTCAAATTAAATCCATTCCTTTGGATCAATATTTAATTATCGAAACTTACGTTTAGGACTACCACCACATTGCGTGCCAGGGTGGTTACCACGTTGCCCTTTTCTCTGTCTGAGGCCAGGCCCAGGAACTCCTTGGGGTCCGGTATGGGGAAGAGATTATAATAGGATAGAAATTTGGACATAATTGAAAATTGAAAACAACTGCAACACGTGCGGCTAAATGGAAGAAGAGGTATCGGCGGGACAGCTGATCGATCAACAGAGCTGTGAAGTTGGCCGTTTTCACGCCAAATTTGAAAAACGCGGGCTGCAGAAAATTGGAACTTTTCAGATTAGCAGCTCGCTAACTTAACATGTGAAATTACTTTATGGATCTAAATTAAGGCATATAAATTTCTCTCGCTCAAACTGTATGCTGTTTTTACATCTGGTTCACTGCCTTAACTTTAAGTTTCCTATAACCGCCAAATCATCAGAATTTATCGGTTGATTAGCCACAGCAGTTGTCCAGCACTGGCGTGCCACGTGTGTTATCGAACATAAACAACACATAGCTATTTTGACAACACTGTTTTAATAAATTTTGCAATGGGTGGAAAGACCAAACAAGCGCCGCGCACCAAAAACAATGCCAAAGTAAGACCCAGTAATTATATATAATGTCAAAAATATAACATGCATCATCACCCACCCGACAATAGCCATCGAGCAGCAGTCGGACGGCCGAGCTGCTCGGCACCAACACACCCATATTCGTGGGCTTCTCGGCGCAGGCTGATTGCGGAGGTCTGGTGCCCTTCACTCCGGGCTTTGCCACTGCGGAGCAAATGCCAGATAGCTTCGATGCCAACATAAGTCCACAGACCCAGATAATACTACGCAAACTCTCCAAAAAAGGATCCCATGACCAAGAAGAAGGCTTTGCAGGAGATTCAGGAATTCATTGAGGTGTCGGACCTTGACACCCTGAAGAACATTCTGCCGCTGTGGCCGAAATACTACCACAATCTGGCCAGCGACCCGGAGCACAATGTGCGTGAGCTCTGCCAGACAGTGCTGCAGCTGCTCATGTCCAAGTGCAAGCGGGCCATGGCTCCGTATCTGAAGCTGCTGGTACCCGTGTGGGTGTCCAGTCGATTCGACACCTATGCCCCGGCGGCCAGCATTGCCAGGCAATCATTCCGCGACACCTTTTCAGGCAACGCCAATCGCACCACGGAGGTGTGCCTTCATTGTCAAACGGAGATCCTGGAGTATGCCACACGCAACCTAACCTTTCACACGCCAGGCACTCTGTCGCTGGGGAAGAACCTCACCCCCGAGGAGGCGGAGCAAAAGTACCAGCGCGTTGTGATCGGTAGCCTGAAACTGTTGTCCTTCTTTATGGAGCAAACTGCCCTTACAGAGGATCTCAGCCAAGTGAAGGAGGGCCTCTCCACTCTGGTGGCCCATCAGAAGTTCTGGAGCTATGCCAAGCACAAGGTTCCACCCATCAAGTATGTGAATCATGTCCAATCAATATAGAAGCAATTAAAACCATTTGAAATCCCTCAGAGCGGCCTGGTTTGAATGCATCTATCACGTGCTGCAGTCGGTGGCACTTTTGGATGTGATTACTCCTCAGAAGACGCAGGTGATTACACTGAGCTTTCAGTTTATAGACGAAGCCGATCCAGTTGTGGCTCCCCACATCTGGGGATGCGTTTTGCTGCTGCAAAGTAACTATGAAGATTGGTAAGTAAAATGGCTTCCATTGAGATTCCATGGGGGTCTAATCCTCATCGACTACTCTTCAGGTTTGTGCCGCTCAACATACGCAAGGCTCTGCTGCCCAAGTTGTCGTCGCTGCTGCGCAATGCCTTCAATCGCAATGCCCAGGCCATCTGCCCCAATCTGCTACCCTTTCTGTCCAAGATTACACCAGCCAGTCTCCAGGATTTTGATATATACGAGTTTTATCAGCGCTTCTTCGACGACATGAAGCTGGCCATCACAGAGAAATTTGATCCGCCGCTGTCCAAGTCCGATTGCACTGTCATACACAATTCGTACTTCGAGTGCCTGCGCTTCCTGCTCCAGCAGATCAACAACAACAAGGAGCGGGAGGCGAAGGTGGACGAATTCGCGTGTGGGCTGCTGCAGAGGAATCTGCTGGAGCCCATTGGATGGCTGCTGAGGAGCGAGAGTGCGCATGTGAAGAACTTTTTCCAGCACAGCTCTGCCCTGGTCGCCTTCTGGGATCGGCAGATCAACAACGGCCTGGACCATGGTGCTTTGTATGCCAAATTGCTGAATCAGTTCTGGACACGCATCTTTGAGCTGGTCACCCAGGACTTGGCTGTCGAGCAGGTGGAGGAGCAGCTGCTATCCCATGTCTTGCTCCTGGTGCAGGACCTGCATATGGCCAATCCCAGCCTGGAGTCGCCGAGCGTCAAGTTTGCGGAAGTGGAGGATGAAAAGAAACCAAAGGAATCGCCATCAACGCCAATCAAAAGGGCCCAAGAGTCGGCGGCGTTCATACAGAAAGAGCTGAAGCAATTGGTTGTGAAGCTAGTGAGGATTTGCCTGGACAAGGCCAGTGCTGCCGGTGACTCCTCCTCGCGTTACATCGAACAAGTTCGCACCCTCACCAAAATGTTCACCGATGCCCAGTTCTACAAGAGCCTCACAGAAATGGCGGAGCTGAGCGCCACGTTGGATAAATTTGTGACTCTGCTGGGACACTTGAACGACGAGGCCAGCGAGTGTGTGGTGGAGATCGTGTTCGAGATTCTGCCCTTGCTGTCGGCGGAACAGCGCTTCGAGTACATTGAAAAGACTCTCTTGAAGGTGGGAAGCAACAAACAGGCAATTGCCAAGTTAATCATTAATTAAATGCACTTTCTGTCTGTACTTCTAGCTACCACAACATCGCGTGCAGAATCTGCTACTGCATCGCCTGCTCTCGTATCCGCTGTGCACGGAACCTGCTGTGCGACAGATGCTCAGCAGCCCGGAAACGTGTGCTGTCATTGCACGCATAGCCGAGGAGGTTGTCGTGGACAATAATCGGGAGAAGCTGAATTTGCTTCACAAATGCTTCTTCCAAACGGACTCGGGTGATATTCTCATCAATGCTGCGACTGTGGATAAAATACTGCTGGCCATGTGCGGGCCATTGGAGCAGCCGTTGACCGATGATATGGTGGAAGTCTGCGGCAGCTTTATAGCTCAGATTATGCCCGTGATTTGTGGCAATGACAACTCCTCACTGGCGGTGCGTCAGCAGATCTTCCTGAAGCTGTACAAGTTCAGTTTGGAGCATCGTCCCGAAGATTATCTGTCGGAGGACACACTGTGGGAGATTACCACCTGCTGGCAGGATGCCCTGTCCAGCAAAGACATTCAGATTGACGTTGGCATGCTGGAAAGTTGTGCAAAAATCGTTGAGGATCTGGCCAGCAACGGCGAACTGAAGGCTGACAACCTGGACGGAATGGCCGAGGCAATGGCCAAGTTTGTGATCTGCTCCACCGAGAATATAGAAGATGAAGAGCAGCGTTTGGCCCACATAGATGACACCATTGTGGCTCTGCTCACTTCTCCCCTGAAAACGTCGGAAAAGGTTCTGAAATTCGAGAATCATTGTGTGTTTCTGGAGGCCCTGGAGGGATCGATCAGTGCAGGCGTTGCCTTCGATAGCGCCTCCCTGGAGAAGGAGGAAATTCTTCCCCTACTGCAGCGAACCACGCTCAACTTTTCCACACTGTATAAGCTCGTGTATCAATTCCCTCCACCTCAAGTGACGGACGAGGCCGATGATGAACTCACCGAGGACTACTGTGATCCCAATGCCGATGTGCTCAAGAAATGGAGCGAATCTTTGATAACAGAGCTCCTGCAGTGCATTCGAGTGGCGGGAGCTGCCGAGAGTTGGCTGGAGGTTTCACAGCTCGAATCCTCATGCGAGGAGCTGGTGCTGTTTCTGTCGGAGAAGGTCCACAGCTTTATGGGCAACAGCAGCGAGCTGGTTGGCATAGTCAAGCAGCGTCTGGAGCTGGCAGCAGCACAGCAATCAAGTGTGATTGATTGTCGTCTCTTGGGCTACCTGACATTCTGTCCCCAGTACGCGGCCTTCGAGGAGAGCGCCACCATTCTGCTGCACGAGGATCTGGCTGAGCTTCTGGTAACCCAGGGAGCCCTCAAAGCATATGTGATGTCACTGCAGGTGAGCAATTTAAACGAAATCAAGGCACCTACTGCATATCTAACCTCTTCTTTGGCAGTATCTGTTGCCCAAGCTCTCGCAGAAGGCCATTGGCCTGGGCTCGGCCATAATGCGGACCGAACCAGGCGATATTTGGGTCAAGGCAGCCGTCTTCCATTGCCTGCTTTTGAACAATTTCGAGGGTGAGGTGAATGAGCAAATGGATCGGAATATTATTGCGTCGGCAGTACAGTTCCTGACCAGCGTTGGAGAGAAGCAGGCCAGCCAAAAGGATCTGCTCCATTACAATGTGTAAGTGGAGGGACGGGGGACTAACACATTGTTTAGTCAATCCTTCTCATGCACATTATGCTTTCCACTTCCAGAGAAGTACTCAAACAGCCCTACGAGTCTGTGCTGAACACTGTGGAGTTTATAAAACTCCTCACGCAAGTACTGAAACGTTTTCCCTACGAGCTGAGCATCAAGAACTGGGATGCCATACGCATTGGCCTCAGCTCTTGGGTGCTGACTGTCTCCAAATCCATGGCACACTACAATGATCCAAAGGTTCGCGCGTTCACTGGAATAGTTTTTCTTGTATGTACATAGTTTAATTTGTTGGCAAATGTTTCTCTCTGGTTTGCAGACTTCCCTCTTCATTGTGGCCGTTTATCAATTGTTTGCCGCCCTGATTAGCTTTATACGCGCCGAGAAGCAAAAGAGCTCCACGGAAGTGCTCAAGAATATGGTTGACGAATGGGATTCGGTGTTTGCCAGGGACGTAAATGTGGTGCTCTTCAAATCATACTATCAGCTAACGCACGAGGCGAGTGTGGAGAGCGGCATGCAGACGTGCTATGAGGCTTTGCTGGAACGTTTAACTGCCACTCTGGAGCTCCTGGATTACAGTTTTGTTTATGCGGTATAACGAGAATATTGCCTCCTTTTAGTTATATACATTTACATTTCTTAACTCACTTTTTCGCGCTCTTTCAGTTTTGCAAGGCCAACAGTAAAATCACCCTGGATCATCTATGCAATTTCCTCTTCAAGCAGCTGCACAGTTCGCAGTATTCGGTGCGCCTCAGTGCCGTCGATGGCATTAAACAGCTAACTCAACACTTTGTGGCCGATGACATTGAATTGAATGAGCGGCAGAGCGAGAGTCTGGACGCCACTTCGACAATCGCCAAGTGGCATTTTCTCAATCGCTTCGAGGACTACCTAACGCGCTACGAGGCCCTGACTAGGAAATATGTGGAGGAGTTTAGCTTCAAGCTGACGGATCTGGATCATCTGGAGCCCATTGACAGACACGAAGCCCTCAGCTATTTGCTACTGTGGGATTGCATTATCAATGCGTGTGCCAAGTCGCCGGTGGCATTGCGTGCCGTCTACACCAATTGGCTGAATGACAACCGATACGAAGAGGTTCGTATAAAAATCACATTTACTTTTGATTTGGAGAGTTACACTTAAATTTTGGATCTGTACACTATAGAATTTTCTGCACTTCCTGTTCCGTGCGATGCCAGTGGACATACTAAAGAATCACGGGGCCAAGGTTCACAGCAACGGCGTCTACAAGGAGCTCACTTGGTCTCAGCTTAAGGGTGAGCATCGCCGCAATGTTTAATTGTCGTTTCTCAGTGTATCATCGGAGGCCTCGTCGGCTGCTGTTAGGACGCCAGGCACATATTCCTCGTTGTCATAGTCCTCAAAGTCGTAGCCAATAGCGCCGGTGTCGTGTGTCATCTCATCCATGTGTTCGGATAGCGAAATGTAGTCCGACAAGGGCACAAACTGTTCCGGATCTTCGTCGGCCATCATCTGGCGTTGTACGGGTATCTGTTGTGGGGCCAAGTAAATGTTCAAGTTGGAGATGAACTTGTTGATCCAAACGGTTAGATTGTTGGCCAATATCTTCTGATATTCGCGTAGATTACTGGTCGTGTAGAACTCTTGGTCTGCAGCGATAGAACAAAGGAGAACAGCATTTGAATTTGCCAACACAAGTTAAGAAAAGTTCGGCCACTCACCCGTAAACTCTCTGATCTTGTCCAGTATCACAGCACAGAGGGGGGAATTTTCATCAACGATAAACTGATCGTTGAGCAGGAAATCCTTCATCTCCTCGAACAACACGCACACGATCTTCTCCATCTGGTTGCGTTGCCGTTTGAGGATTCGCTTCTTCAGGCTCTTGCAGCGTCGTCGGTGCAGTTGCTTGGCCGTTCGCCGTTGTCGCATCTCCTCCTCCAAGTACTCGATGGCCCTGTCCATGGTCATCACTTCAACGGGCGGCTTGGGCTTCATCTGGTTCTGCAAGGCGGTCAATTGCCGGGGCTCGAGAATGTTCTTGTAGGTCTTGAACGTGTCCTTGACACGGACCGGAAGGGGATCGGCAAGGCGCTCAATGCGGGCCGTGCACGTAGGCATAAAGTACTTTTTGCTGTAGAAAATCGGCTGCTTGAATAGCTGCGGTGAGGTCAGATCCTTCTTGGGTGTGGCCAAGAAACAGATGTGCTCCTCGCGCGACAACACATCGCGATCGATGATGATCTGGCCCGTGTGCTGGCAGGGTCCGTAGCAGGGATGGTAACGGGGACAGACGCAGATGAACTTGTACAATGCTTGCTGCTCGGTTGCGGGAAACTTGACCAGACGCTTAATGCGCTTCGCGCGATTCTCGCGCACATGGACCATGGCCAGGCGAGCATTCAGCTCGTCGGCCACTGTGGGACCGTCCTCTTCCTTGGGCTTGGCTGCCTCTGGCTGATGCATGCAGGCCAGCTTCATGAAATTTAAAGCCTCCGCGACGGTCTGCTTCTCGTTCTCCAGCTTTATGCCGCGCGGTGGCTGCGCATTATCGAAGGCATTCTTTTTGGACATTCTACCGAACAAAATGCAAACAAAAACTCCGAAATCGAACAACAAAAATAATTCAATAAAAAAAAACAAAAAAAATACAAACGAGTGAAACGAAACAAAACGAGACGAAATAATGAGTGGAATGAGTGACTTTTGTGTGCTTTTCCTTTTCCAAATTTAGTTCATGGCATGTGTTGACCTTCTGCTCGTTTCTCTCTGCCAACAGATCGCCAACTGCCACTGGAGCGCTATGTGTGCCACCTGTATACCGAAGTGCTGCGCAAGCTACCGGCTGTCGTGCGAAAATGGTGGAACACCTGCCAGTCCAGGCAGAAGAACTTTGTGGACAATCTCACCACCAACTATGTGAGCTCTCTGATCTGCAGCGAGGAGCTGAAGGCAATCGCCAATCGCAAGGAGAAGCACGAGAATATGCAGGTGAGCTTTGGATACGATTCGATTCGATTTGATTTGGGCTGTGATTAGTAGTGGTGCTGGTCGTGGTGCTGTTCTTATGCCTCCTCGTCGGTGTTCATGCGCAGCACAAATACCACAGCGATGCTGATCAGCAGTAGAACGATGACAATGCTGCGAAAGATCTCTAGCGGAATCATCTTGGTGCACTTTCGTTGAGCAGAAAAACACTTTTTGTTTTGTTTTGTTTTGTTTGCTTAAATGCGTGAAAGTGCAAAGACTCCTACGATCCTTGGCTCCTACTATTATTAATCACAAGTAATATTTGCAGGTGACAGTTCATGCATCCACCCGCGAAGTGCTGGCCGTGTATGCCATCGATGAGGCGCGCATGGAATTGGTCATTACGCTGGCCCCCAATTATCCACTCGGCGCCGTGAAGGTTGAGTGCGGCAAGCAGATTGGTGGGCGTGCCTCCTCGCGCAATGTGGGCATGCAGTTGACCATCTTGCTGACGCACCAGGTGGGTTTTTACGCGTACAAATATATAGTTTATGGCACTAAGGCAACCTTTTTTATATGCCCTGTAGAATGGTACCATCTATGATGGCCTCACCATGTGGAAGAACAATCTGGACAAGAAGTTCGAGGGCGTGGAGGAGTGCTATGTGTGCTACACCGTCATCCATCAGGACACTTGCCAGCTGCCAAAGCTCACGTGTAAAACCTGCAAGAAGAAGTTCCACGGCCCATGCTTGGTAAGCCCTATCGAAACATATTTCTCCCTTTGTTCCAAAGCAAAACAATTCTGCCATCTTTCTTGCAGTACAAATGGTTCACCACCAGCAGCAAGTCCACATGCCCCATTTGCCGCAATGTCTTCTAAGTGGCACATAAATATATATATACATGTAAAACAGCAGTTAAAACACGTATTAAACAAAAGGCACAACCCAAAACCCCCACATAACCATTAGGCAATACGTTCAGAATTCCCTTCAGGTGTACATCAGTAATAATTATAATAATTTTATGTTCTCAGAGAAGGGATTCAATATTTATAATTGTAAATAATTCACAAATTAAAGTTTCTTATTAAATTATCAGTTAAAAGTAAATGGTAGCCAATTTAAATAATAAGTGCAGGACAAAGTAGCATTTTCAACATATTTCCAGCTAGCTATTGAACAAAAGAAATCATTATAGATCAAGTAGCACAACCAACTAGACTATAGGAGTACCCTTTTACTTTTCCATATCCAATCGAAACAAACAACAACAAATAAATGTCCAACATGAGCATGGAAATAATCGGTAGGTGTCCGTATTGCGAGCGCCAAGTGACCAAGGACCTGCGACCCGTCAATGCACTCGAAGAGAATGTGTCGGAGAAGGTCAGTTGCATCTTGAAGGACACCGATGTGGCTGGTCAGAGCGTTCTATGCACGGCTCTTGATGGCAAAGACATCCACAAGAACACCCAACACGAAGGAAACGTACGCGAGGGCGAGTCTCGCTGCATTTTTCGTTTTACCCAGACCATATTGGATCTGGTAGAGAAAACGATGAATAATATGGACACAAATGATGACCACCAATGCCATGGACATGCAGAGGCCGTGGTGGCCCTGCTGATTGAGGAGGATCGCTTCATGCAGCAATTTGAGGAACAGGCAACGGCAGCTCAGGCTGCACGCGGCAAGCGCGGCGCTCGCCGTGGGCGTTAAGCGATGGATTTAGAAAATGAGTAGCGATTGAAACCTTTGCAAAATTACCAGTTACCAGTTACACCCACCCAGTCGACCCCACGTGCTGACGTGCCACCAAGGCAGCTACCACCACCCCAGCGACTGCTCGAGTCTGCGCCGTGGACAACTCGGCGACTGCTGGGGTGGGGCCCATAAAAACACATGATGACGCTGACGCTGACTCGCCTTGCCATCGCATCGGTTTTCGCAGTGCAGTTTTCAAGCTGCTAACTGGGATTAGGCACGCCATTGTAGGCTCATCCAACTGCTGTCCGGCGTTTCGCTTTACGGGCGTTAAAAGTTAACAAAATGACGTAAGCCCCGCGCATACGATGAGCCCCAAGCAACCAAAACTTGGCCAGCGTGTTGAGGTAACGGGTAAAAATCTCCAGGGCCGTGTGGCCTATGTGGGACGAACGAATTTCGCTGCCGGTCTGTGGTTTGGTGTGATATTGGACGAGCCGCTGGGCAAGAACAATGGCACCCTTCAAGGCAGCACCTACTTCAAGTGTTCCCGCAATTGTGGTCTGTTCGTGCGTGGCCAGCAGCTGCTGAGGATTGGGGAGCAACCGAAAGAGCCAGATAATCAGAGAACCGATGAAATGCAACGCAACGAGGGGGTGGTGAGAGCCAAGCTGTTGCGCAGGAGTGTGGGCAGCTCTGTGGAGGAGCAGGTGAGTAATCAAAGCAAAAGAAAAAATAAAAAAATCAAATAAATTTTTGCATCTTCGGTGCTATTTTTATTTATATTTAGGACAACCAGCGAGAGCAGCTGGCATCCACAACATCTGGCAAAGTTAAAGCCCATTCTAATCCTCAAAGTAACTCCAACTCAGCCTCGCCTCAGCACAGGCCAAAGGTGGCTTCAGGACAAACCAAAAAGGACCAGGCGCTGGCCAAGACATCGGGCAAGTTCTTGGCAGCACAACAGCAACCATTGCAACTTCCCAAGGTATGTCCATGCGTGGGTGCGTGAATTCAAAATATTCATTGAATTAATACATCTCCAGAATCAGATGGAGAACCAGGAGGAGGAGAAAAAGCCAGCAGCAACAGCAGAGCTGCTGCCAGAGAAGTCCAGAGAGCTGGAGCCAGCAGTTAGTCAGCCAGTGCCAGACGAGGAGAAAGTAAAGCCTGTAGGAGGTGAACCGAAACCTACCCAGGAAGTGCAGCCAGCCTCCAATCCGCTGCAAACCAGCACGCTTGGTCAGTTGCCATTGCAGAAGGGCGACAGCGCAGCCGTTCAATTGACGCCGCCGGCCATGACCTGCAACCAGCGGCGTTCCACATCGTACACCCAACTGAGACCCACTAGGATCAGTCAGCCCAAGCCGACAACAGCTCAGGCACAGAGCTCCACAGCGCAGCTGACCCTCGCCATGCCAGTGCCCCTGGCTCTGGCGCCGAAGCGCAGCAAGACAAGCATCTGTCCCACGAGCTCTGTGAAGCGAGGGGCGCCTTCTGCCTTTGTGGAGCCCGGCTTTCTGGAGATACTGCGACCACAGTTTATCCCGGGTCCGGCATTTCGGACGCCCAGCACAATGGCACTGCCGCCGCCGCCACAGCCGCCGCCTGTGGACAATCCGGAGCTGCGACAGCTGCGCGAGGAACTGCAGCTGTTGAGGGGACAAAAGAGCGAGGACAAGTTGAGGCTGCTCGAACTGGAGCGGACGCGCATACAGAACGAACAGCTGTTGGAGTTCAAGGCTCAGATTATGGCGCAGCATGTGCTGCTCCAACGAGAGCTGCAGCGATCGCGTCATGAGCTGCGCGAGACGCAGGACACGGTCTCCAAGTACAAGCGGGAACTGGACGAGGTGGCCGAGAGCATAGAGCTGCTGACGCTGGACAAAGAGATGGCCGAGGAGCGCATGGAAACGCTGCAAATGGAGCTGGAGATGGCGCAGGAGCGCAACGACGAACTGAATCTGGACGTGGAGATCCTCAAGGCGGAGCAGGACGAGCATCAGGGTCAGCGCATCGAGAAGACTGAGAAACAGACGGCAGTCGGCGCAACTGCCCAGTCCGCAGGCGAATTCCTGCGTCTGGAGCAATACAATCAGCGGCTGCGCGAGACTGTGGTGCGGCTGAGGGATACCCTCGCCCAGGAGAAGCAGCAGGCGCAGCGATCGCACAAGGAACTGGAGACAAAGCACTCGGAAATAAACGAGCTGAAGAGCATCAAGGAGCTGCTGAGTCGACGCGTCGACCACATGGAGGTACAGCTTATGGACCTGAAGGAGCAGGTGGATGCCTCTCTGGGTGCCGAGTCCATGGTCACACAATTGGCCAGCCTCAAGCTGGAGCTGGAAGATCGTGTCAAGCTGCTGGAGGATGAAGTCAACGAGCTCGAGGCCCTCGAACAGATCCAGGAGCAGCTCATCGAAAGCAACCAGGAACTGGAGACGGATCTGCGCGAGGAAATCGACAAGCTGGGCGGTCAGGTGAAGATTCTCGACCAGCAAAAGCACGCCGCCATGGAGAGCCTCTACGATCGCGATGTGACCATTATGAAGTTCCGAGATCTGGTCCGACAGCTCCAGGAACAGCTACAACTGAGGGCCGACGGCACGCTGTCCATCGAGGACTTTAGCAGCGCCAACGAGTCGCAGCAGGAGGAGGGCTCGAATCAGAGCCAAAACGACTACCAGCACATCTTCAGCGTGAGCAAGGCCTACGGACGGGCACTCGAGCAGCAGCTGAAGGCCGTGGAGTTGCGTTTGCAGGGTCAGCACTTGGATCACGTCCTGGCCTTTGTGCCCGAACAGTTTCTACTGCGTGGCGGGGAGCATGATGTCGTGCTGGTCATGCTGCCTGCTGGAGCGAATGAACGAGAAGCTGACCATCGTCTGCCAGGCGATCAATGAGAAGTTTCCCACGGCCTGTGAGTTTGGTGAGTGTTCTTGCGAGTGTTCTACCGGGTGACTATCTATAATGGCTGTTCCCCTACAGGTCGCGATGCCATCTTCGAGGGCTACTCTGTTCAGCGTTTCATCTTCCGCTCGCAGAGCATCTACCTGCTGAAGAGCCTTCAGGTGGTGCTGCAGCAGTTCCGCCACGGGCTCAACCATTGCGACTATGAGCTATGCACCCATGCGGCCATCTACCGCAGTGACTTGGAGACGCAGGAGCAGCAGCTGGACGAGTTTGTGCGGCTCCTGAAGACGGGCCAACTGGATGAGCACACCAAGTGCGAGCCCATACAGCGAGTGCTGCACTATGTGAATGCGCTGCATCAGAACTTGATGCCGCCGCAGGCTCTGGTGGAGCTGCTGGACGAACAGCAGCTGTATGCGGCACTGATTGAGGTGTACGAGGCGGGGCTGGATGCGGTGAATGCGAATGCGGGACTGATGCACACGATCATCCAGCTGGGGCACGAGCAGACCGCCTCGTTCCAGTGCATGCAGCTGCTGATGGAGCAGAGTTGCAGCCAAAAGCAAAAGCTGAAGAAGCTGCAGCGGAAGCTGAGTGGCAGCAAGACGGCCGCCTGGACGGGCATGCAGTGTGCGCGGTATCAGCGCATTTTGGAGGCGAACGAGGCTCTCGGCGCACTGATCACCATACTGGGGGCGACAGCGCGCGAGGCCAGCAAGGAGTCGAATGGGGGAATAGCCCACGAGAAGCTCTGGCGGATGCTGGTGCTCAACTACAATAGGTTTGCCCCCACTCAGGAGGCAGACGAGCTGAAGGAAGTGGATGCCTACAGTCAGCGTTGCATGCAACTGCTGGAGGAGCAGCTGGACGAGCTCTGTGCCCTGCTAGAGTCCACGGATGTGAACACGGAGTATGTGCGTCACCCGGCCACCAATACGCTGCAGGAGCGAGCCGCCCAGGTGAAGCGCCACTACGAGGATGTCAAGAGCTTCGAGCTGACGGTGGGGGAGCGCGACAAGGAGATCAAGGCCCTCAAGTACACGGCCAAGCTGAAGCAGCAGGACTACTCGGAGCTGCAGATACGCAAGGAGATGGCCGAGAAGCAGCTGAGCAAGCAGTGCCAACTGCTCACTGGCATAGCCGAGGCCGCCGAACAGTTGGATCAGTGCATGATGTCGAAAGAGGCGGCCCTCAATCAGACCATCAATATGCTGACCGAAAAGATTGCGACCCTGGAGCAGGCCCAGCAGCACTGGCGGGAACAGCAGCAGGTGGACACTGCCTGTGTGACGAGCTGCACTCTGAGCAGCAACCGGGAACTTAACATGCTGCATCGTGCTCTGCGGCAGGAGCGGCAGCTGCGGGTGCAACTTCAAGGCAGTGAAATGCGCAAGACTTTTGCCTCACTGGAGCCGTTGCATGTGCCTCAGGCGAGCAGCAGCAGCAGCAGCAGCCAGCTGATGATCCTAGAGAAGGATCTGCGCTCGTTGAAGAATCAGTGGCTGTTGGCGCATCTCGAGCTGGGTCCCAACGGCAGCCGGAGGCGCAGTGAAATCGAACAACAGGGCAGCCGCATTCTGCGACAAATCTTCCAGACATATTGCACGCAGCATCCCCATCGGGCCAAGGATACGGACTTTGGACTGTTCATTAGCGAGGATATGCGTCGAGCATTTGGGCCCAGTTTCTAAACACACACAAAAATACGCAAACAAACAAACAGACAAACAAACAAACAAACAAACAAACAAACAGACTCTAGTATTCCAATTCAGTTTCGAGCATAAAAAAGGTACATGTGATTTGCTGCTTATATATACAAAAACATACAGATATACAGATACACATATGTATGCCAAAACTGTACAATTATATAGTTCATTTCGTGTTTATTCGGTATTAAAGAAAATTTACAGTACTCGTACTTAGAAAAATTGACAAAAACCCCAGTGAGTGTTAACTTACCTTCCTGCAACCAATATTTATATTTTTTTAAGTGTCTCAGTCCGTAGAGACTCTCCCCTGTAGAAATCGAAATAATCCTGGCGAAGCTGTAAAATGGAGCAGTACTAATCGTAGCATGTCCCATGTGAGTACAGAGATCTACCACAAAATGCATGATCTAATAATAATCTTACATTTATCCCATGGCAACCCGCCACTCCGTTGTGGGTGTTTAGTATTCCAAATTCATTTTATATCTCATTGTCGGAGCACTCACTCTCGACTGTGGGCGTTCTTAAATCTTGTTTATTTGAAGTCAACATTTTACAATATACATACATACATATACATACATATATACGAGTATATCAATCAATATACAAGCAATCCGTTTAGGCATGTACAAATAGTTAGGCATAAGAAACGCGCATCAAGGGGTTGAGAGAGCAGCGCAAGCAGTTCAATAAAATACGAAACGCCTATCACATGAGCACAGGGATCAGGATCAGGTATCAGGTATCAGGTAATAGGTATCAATGGATATAGGATATAGGTACACATATATAGATTATAGAGAGAGAAGAATGGCAATAAATGGCGGGCCGTGTGTGACATCGTGGCTGTGTTTTGTGGGGTGTATCGTTATCGTTATCGTTGTCGAGTTTTACATAAATACGTTTAATGTTTAATGAGAAGAAGATTGATTTTGAGGCTATTTACAGTTGCTGAACGAACCAAAACAATATTGTGACTGTGTGGTAGAGCTGCGAACGGTAGAGAATTAGCTGGGTAATGCCGTGGGGGGAAGAACTTGCCTTGGGCTAACCTCACGACTTTTCTGCCGTCTGACGCTTGGCCACAATTTTGCCCTGATCGCGACTGTTGATGACCTCGGCATGGAAGCCCGTCTCCCAGTCGGCATAGTACTTGACTGTGCGCACATTGCCATCGGGCTCCACCAGTGAGTATTCGCCCTTGACTACATCCCCATCCCGCTCCTCGCGCTGATGCTTATTGTCGCCCGTATGCGGATCATTTACGGCATACTCAAAGGCATACCGAGGATGTGCATCCTGGAAGGCGAAATGACAGAGAGATAACATAGGTGAGTCAGCTTCACAATGGGTGCTTCGTTTGACTTACAAAATGTTCCAGATGCTTCTCCGGCACCACCTTGAGCAGGGCTGGCTGGGCCACGGGCGCCGACTTCAGGTAGGCGGTGGCTGGCAGTGGGGCATGAGCACTCAACGCGGGCACACTCGGTGCATAGCGATAGAAACCGGCGCCCAAGGGCCCGATTCCACCCACACCATGGTCATAGCCGCTCAGCGAGGAGTCCAAATGGGCGGATGTGATGGGTGCGTACGACAGACCGCCGTGAGCCAAGCCACCTAGCGACAGACCGCCATGGGAGAGACCACCACCATGGGAGAGAACACCACCATGGGACAGCCCACCACCTTGCGTGAGAAGTCCCTGGTAGTTGAGGGCCGGAGAGATGCCTCCGTGACCCAGGGAGATGGCGCCATAGTAGCTGCCATCGTGACCCGAGCCGAGACCCAATTTGCCTGGAAAGGAGTGTGAATGTTAGTGAGGCATCTCACCAGCCGATCGATCCACTTACCCGCACTTATGCCGTAGGCTGTGCTGCTGGCCAGCTTTCCACCGAGAGCGTAGGCCGGGCCAGAGGTTAACTTGGTCAAGGGAGCACCCAGAAGAGCAGCGCCTGCGGGCTTGGACACATACCGAGTGGACACTGCGCCATGTCCGCTGGCAGAGTAGCCAATACCCAAGCCCAGGCCATGGGGAGAGCCAACCTTGACCAGTGCCGGGCCCGTGGAGATGTGGCTCACAGCTGGCGCGGCATAGCTGGCCACCTTGGCCAGGGCAGGAGCAGCCACAAGCGCAGGCTTTGACACGTACTGATGGGAGACGGCGCCGCCTCCATAGCCGCTGCCTCCATGACCACCGCCATAGCCAGTGGCCACTTTCGTTAGGACAGGAGCTGGCGAGTAAGTGGCTATGGCCGGGGCTGCATAGGCTGCAACCTTTGCTAGGGCAGGACCTGCTGAGATGGCTGCCAGTGCGGGCTTGGACACGTACTGATGGGAGACGGCACCCGAGCCGCTGCCTCCATAGCTTCCGCCGTGACCTGAGGAATAGCTGGAAACCGCAGCAACTGAAGCAGCAGGCAGATACGTCTTGGTCAGGGCTGGCACAGCGATGGCCGGAGCAGCCGGAAGATAAGTCTTGGACAGGGCTGGAGCATAGCTGGCTCCGTGGCCACTGCTGCCGTAGCTGGTGGAAATCTTTGTGAGGCCGGGAGCCGAGGAGTATGTGGAAAGGGTTGGAGCTGCGTAGGACGCTACCTTGGCAATGGCAGCACCAGAGGAGTATGTGGCCACCGCGGGCTTGGACACATACTGATGGGAAATCGCACCCGAGCCGCTTGCGCCATAGCTTGCACCGTGTCCTCCATAGCCAGTCGACACTTTGGTCACGACCGGACCCGAGGAATAGCTGGTAACAGCCGGAACAGCGTAGGCCACCTTGGAAAGGGCAGGAGCCACAGAGTACGCTGGAGCAGCATAGGAGGCTACCTTGGCAATGGCAGGACCCGCGGAGTAGGTGGCCACCGCTGGCTTGGACACGTACTGATGGGAGACGGCGCCCGATCCGCTGCCTCCATAGCTGGTCGACGATAGCTTGGTGATGGCGGGGCCCGAGGAGTACGTGGAGAGTGCCGGAGCAGCGTAGGAGGCTACCTTTGCAATGGCAGGAGCTGCGGAGTAGGTGGCCACCGCTGGCTTCGACACGTACTGATGCGACACAGCACCCGATGCAGATCCTCCATAGCTGCCGACGATCTTTGTGACTGCCGGAGCAGAGACGGAATAGGTGGCAATGGCCGGGGCTGCTGCCGGATAGGCAGCGACAATGGGTTTCGAGATGTACTGGTGGGAAACGTCCGCCGCCTGGCTGTAGGTTGCCACTTTGGAGAGGGCGGGCCCGGAGGAATAGGTTGCAATGGAGGGAGCAGCATATGTGGCCACCTTCGAGACGGCAGGAGCCGCCGAATAGGTGGCAATGGCAGGAGCAGCGTAGGACGCTACCTTGGCAATGGCAGGGCCCGCGGAGTAGGTGGCCACCGCCGGCTTGGACACATACTGATGGGAGACGGCACCCGAGCCGCTTGCTCCGTAGCTTGCACCGTGTCCTCCATAGCCAGTCGACACTTTGGTCACGACCGGACCTGAGGAATAGCTGGTAACAGCCGGAGCAGCGTAGGCCACCTTGGAAAGGGCAGGTGCCACAGAGTACGCTGGAGCAGCATAGGAGGCTACCTTAGCGATGGCAGGACCCGCGGAGTAGGTGGCCACCGCTGGCTTGGACACATACTGGTGGGAGATGGCTCCGTGGCCAGTGCCTCCATAGCTGGTCGCTACCTTGGAGAGACTGGGAGCCGCAGAGTACGTGGAAATGGAGGGAGAGGCGTAGGCTGGCGCAGCCGCGTATTGATGGGAAATGGCACCCGAACCACTTGCTCCGTAGCTGGTCGAGAGCTTGGTGATGGCGGGGCCCGAGGAGTACGTGGATAATGCTGGGGCAGCGTACGTGGCAACCTTGGCGATGGCAGGAGCTGCGGAGTAGGTGGCCACCGCTGGCTTCGACACGTACTGATGCGAAACAGCACCGGATGCAGATCCTCCGTAGCTACCGACGATCTTTGTGACTGCCGGAGCGGAGGAGGAATAGGTGGCAATGGCTGGCGCCGCCGCGGGATAGGCGGCAATGATGGGCTTGGAGATGAACTGGTGGGAAACATCCGCCGCCTGGCTGTACTTGGTGAGGGCTGGCGCATAGCTGGCGGAGTAGCCCGTGCCGTGCGATGACAGCAGGGATGAGGTGGTGGCCAGCTTAACAGCCGGAGCGACGTAGGCAGAGACCTTGGCTACTGCCGGGGCCGCGTACGAGACGGAGGGCGAGTAGGTGGCAATCTTGGAGAGGCCCGGAGAGAGCTGGCCGTAGCTGTAGCCGGGCGAGCTGTAGGTCTCCACTTTGGAGTAGCCCGGACTGGCCTTCGAGTAGGTGTATCCGGGCGAGCTGTACGACTCCACCTTGGTGGTCACCTGCGGTGCATAGTAGGGCACACTGGACGGGCCCGGAGCGGGGGACGAGTAGGTGGCCACCTTCGAGATGCCGGGCGTCGCCGAGCTGTAGCTGTATCCGGGCGAGGTGTACGTGGCGACCTTGGTCAGGCCCGGCGATGGCGGCAGGTAGCCATTGTCCAGCCTGGGTGCCGTCAGCAGTGTCTTGGTCAGTGCCGGAGACACCAGATTCTTGATCTCGATGCCCGACGGCACCACAGTCGCAAACTGGGCCGCCGGTGACTTTTCCGCATAGGTGATACCTGCTCCTCCGTACTGCGCCGCTGGCGAGAACAGCGTTTTCTGCACCGGAGCTATGTACTTGTCAATCTGGGTGAGGCCGCCATGCGACAGGCCCACAAGTCCCGCGCTGGACTCGTAGGAGGACCCCGAGCTGCCTACGGATGTGTGCAGGAACTTTCCGTTCTCGGAGTACGTGGAAATCGCCGGCGACTGGCTGTACTTGGTCACGCCCGGCGATATGGAGAACTTCACCTCGGCTGGCGGTGGATAGGCATAGCCGGAGGTGCCAGCATGCACGCAGGGCGGCAGCGGAGCTGCCAGTGTGGGGGAGGGCAGGGCTGAGGGCTCGGCCAGCACGAAGCCGAGTAAGCCCAGCAGCGCTATCAGATGGAACTGCAAAGCGAGGGAAAGAAAGTGGGTGCAAGAATGTTAGAATATTCTACGATTTCAATGGGGTTCAATTAATTCTTCATACAAAATATTTTTAAATCTTTCAAGGACTTCCAATGGTCAAATATAAAAGGAAGGATGTGAACTGCCTCTGCATGTCCTTATTTATCAGGATTATGTTCAAAAATCAATTAATTTGCATATTTTTCAATTAGTCCAAGGATCTTCAAAACAAACATCAAAAATATTATTCTTGCATTATTTGTATTATTTTTAAATTGCAGTCAATTATAACATATCTAATAGTATACATATTTAATATATATTAAATATATATATAGTATATATATTAAATAAATATATTAAATATTATTAAATATAAATTAAATATGTGTATAGTTGCAGTTTAGTCTGTTAAAAATGCAAAAAAATTTGCATTCCCAGCTTTCAAAAATATAATCACAATATCCTTTCCAAATTTACTTTGATTTAAGTTTACAGTTTTTCATTCCAGCACATAAATGCATTAGTCATTTCTCAGTTCAGTTCATCATACTTTGTGTTCGATCATGGACCCACCTTCATATTTCCACTAACGAATTTCGTTGGCTCTGGACTATCGAAGAAGAAACTTTATGGATCCTTTCTGTCAATGACACAACATTTGCACTTTTCAAAAAAGAAATCACAAGCTTGCAATCCTTTCAGTTATCCTTTTGTCACAAACACACACGAGGGGGGCAAGACTCTATGGGAATGGAGAACACACGCCACGGATTCGTTGTAGACCCGCGACACGAAACGGACTGATACGCAACGGAACGCTCGGTACGCTCGGAACGATTCGGGGATGTAGAGCAAGGCAGCGCGGCCGACTGGACTGGACTGTTGGCCAGCCCGGCCCTATAATCGCTTATATACGTTCGGTCAGTTGGCCAATACTCGCACAAAAAGCTCGCACGCATGCGCCGCAGCCACGCACCAGTTTGGCGACAAAGCGACACAAACCAACAAAAACAAAACTATATTTATAGCAAAAAAAAAGCAAAATAACAAAAAAAAAAAATAGATCTAGCAGCAAGGAAAGAGTCGAATCGAATCGGATCGTATCGGATCGGGCCAGGCCAGGCCAAGTCGGGTGCACTGCAACTTTGGCCCGTGCAGATGAAGAATTGATGACTGCCGCTCTCGTTTGGAGGCAGCTTTGTCTCGGGGTTCTCTCGCAAAACTGCCAGTGCAACCGCACAACTGAAAACTGCAACCTGCCTGGCCAATTGTTGGGCCCGGCCCCACCTTCGCTCGGTCGCCCAGTACAGCACAGCCTCCTCACACACAGAGTTGGTAACATTTTATTAGATCATACTCTCGTCAAACGCCTCGGCTGAAACAAATCAAACAACAGCAAAAAAACACAAACACACACACACTCAGAGCCGCTCAGAAAACGCGCGTGGTGCATTGTTGGCCAAAGCTGCATTTATTTTTTGATTTTTATACATTGATTTTTTGGTTCATTTTTGTTTGCATACTCGTATGCTTTTAAAGCGACTTAATTTGATTTAGATTTTAATCGCGGCCATTGCGTGTAGCTCTGGGCAAAAATAAATGCATACGCAATTTGCTAGACCCCCAGTCCTGCCAAATGAAAATCGCAAAAAATGCACACACAACACACACGACACACACAAAAATAGAGAGCAGTGAATAAGTAGTTCGTATATCTGAGAAATAAAACAAGAATTGTGGTATTAATGTCGCTATCAATAAATTTTCTTGGCCTGTGGAGTGGATGGAGTGCAATCATGCGTGTGTCTGTCTCTTGGTCTGAGATTGTGCCTTGGGCCTTGGCTGTGCATTAGTTGGCTTGGCTCTAAGGCGCATTGCCACATAATATGTTACAATATACAACAAATAGAATAGCTGGGAGATATGGCCAAAGTGTTGACTTGTCGGCAATTAGGGTCACTATGGCGCCCAGTGTCACCTTTTGCGAGTGCCTAATGGCTTGTATCTGTTCACTGGACATTTCGATCTTGAAGGGTATTAATGTGGCATGGAATTGCTGTATGCAGTGTTTCATGGGAAGCAAATATGTTTTCATACGAGAACATTTAACTGGTAGAACTACATTTAAATCGACTGAAGCGCTCCCTCGCTCTCCCTCTTCATTATTCTTTCAAAAAATCAATCCTTAGGCCAGAAAGCAATTGAAATCCAGTGATTGCATATTTCATCTTCCTTCTGCCATCTTATATAACAAGAAACAAACCGAAACTGTGCCACTTCTTGCACGGATTTGCCTTTTGGCCAAGACAAGACAAGACAAGCCATCGGCATCGCCCACCAGCGACCATAGACAGCATAAATTTCCCATGAGGTGCGGAAAATGCTTTTCCACTCATAAGCGCAGGCCATAAGCTACCTAAAGTCATAATTTTAAGCTCCAGTTTCAGTTTCAGCTTCAGCTCTCGATAATCCTGTAGCGGCTACTGCTACTGCCATGTGAATGCCCCGCTGGCAAACACGCATACGCCATGTTGTGCACACACACCCAGGCCCCGAGCCCAGGCCCAGTCCAGCCCCAGCCCCAGTCCCAGCCCCAGTCCCAGCCCCAGTCCAGCCCCAACGGCCTTTCTCAAAATATTGTACCGACTATTTACACGCAATATTCGCAGCAATATTTGCACTCTAACTAAACTGGTTTTAGTTTTTTATAATACTCCCGTCATGCGTGTAGAATTCTTAGTCCAGATTTGAGTATACAGATTCGAGAGCAAGAAACATAAAATCAGCAATTTTATAAATATGTTTGGCAAATTTTGAAATGTTTACGCAGCGGCTGTGTACAACACGATTTGGTGTTGGCTTTTGGGCCGGACCATTTGCGATATTGAATGAACGACAAACCATCTAGATATAGGATTCGCTGATATACTAGTATAAAGTTATATGTAAATGATCCGGCGTACGGCTCTGGCTCCGGCTGCGGCTCGGGCGAAAATCAAGATTTTTCAATTAAAAACCAAAAGGAGGAGGAGAAGGAGTGTCGGGGCGATGTTTGGGCGATGGATTTCGTCATGATGTTAAGTAGGCATGGTCGTGAGCCAGCGCCATGGCCAGCTGTAGATCTGTGGCTGCTCTCTCGTTCCACCAATATCTTACGCAACCCCTTAGCAGTCGCAGTCGAAGTCGAAGTTGCAGTTGACGATGGAGTGCTGTGCTGTGCTATGCGTGTGTGTGACAAATGCGTGGCCTAAACTAAAGTAAACTCGTCCAGCAATGCCTCTGAAGTAGGTTAAAATTGCAGCGCAGCTGACTGGTCACTCGATTTTCGGCTGTGCCTTTGCATTTGCAAATGTTGAAAAATTAAAATTCAATCAAATTGCGAAAACTGTTGCAAGCAAGAGAGCTGAAAAGAAACACAGCATACAGAAAAAGAAAAGCTGCGACCGACAGCCCCAAAACATGTTTCATGTTCAATTAACAGCAGCCAGCGGCAGTTCACTGGAAAAACTATGAAGAAAATCTATTGGGGGCTCATGAAGGAGTAGGAGAGAACAGCCTTTCACTCTCTCACTCACATTTTCCGATGCTCCGATATCAATCGCCGCATGCAACCACTGTCCGGTGGACCTAATTGCTTCACAAGGTTTATCTATTGGCACTAGCTCTCGATCTGGATCGGCATTCTTTTCCAATTGCACTTTGGAGGCGATTGCGTGTCTTGGTTTTTTGGCTTTTGGTTTTTCTTCTATTTTTCTATGATTTTTCTTGTATTTTTTATGCTGCGTCTGGGCTTCTAATTGAAATGTCAACGCGTGTGCTGCTCAATCAATTTTCCAGCCAAGCGTTTATGGCCGGATTTATTTTGGATACAGCTTCGCCTAGATTTCACATCTGACTATACGGAGTCCAAAGGAGTCGCTTGGGCTTTGGTATGTGTTTTTTCTTATGGTTTTTAATTGATTTACCCGGCATGCGGTGTCAGAGCCACAAGTCAGGGACAATGTGGCAGCGATGGCAGCTTGAGAGGTGCCACCAAACATGTGGCAGACCTCAGACTCTGCAGACAGCTAATTAAATGCGGTCACAGCGATTGAGGGACGATGACAGCTAAGGTGGATACGATACAACGATGCCAACTGGGCCCAGCCGACAAGCTTATTAATTAAATGGAAACATTTGTGTTGGGTGAGTTTTACACTGGAAAGGATTTTCCAATTATTATTATTTATTATTTGTAGTGCATTTTCCGCATACTTCTCAATCATAGTCGTAAAAGGAACATTTGGTTTTTAGATCACTTTGAGAGTATTTTTGTATGTTTAATTCATTGAATTTACCTACATTGAAAATTTTAGAGTAGCAGCTACCAATATTTTTGCATTTCCATTCTCTTAAAAAACACCAGAAAAATGTCTTCGTCCGAGGATCGTTATCGTGAGAGCCGCAATCGTTGCTTTGCGGATGCCATTGTTAAGACAGCTGGCGGCATTGTGATGGGTGCCACAGTCGCCCTGTTGTTCCTGCGTCGTCGTCGCTGGCCGGTCTGGATTGGTGCAGGATTTGGCATTGGACTGGCCTATCGTAGCTGTGAGAGGAACATGAAGGCGTTGAAGTGAAGAATGCAGCCAAGTCCTTGCAGCGTTTACTGCTGGGAAAGCAATTCGAAAAGGTGTCAAGGAAGTACATTTTGTTGTTTATTTTTAGTATTTCCTACGAACTCTTAATGCTAACCTCGCAACATACTTTCAGTTAGTCTCGAGTGCCATAAACATTTGTCATAATTAACACAGATTAGGCATTCGTTTCGGCATTCTTAATTCTCAATGAGTGCTCTGCTGCACTTGCTCCCACCTGCGGATAGTCGCCAGATAGTCGTCGCAGTCAAAGCGGCTAATCCAATTTAGCTAATCTCTGCCATAACTAGTTCGACCAGAGATTGAGTATTCTAATTACTGGGGGCACTTGCACTCGCACTCGTACTGGTGCCTACTTTTTTGTCAACGCAAACATTTTGTATGTTTTGCGTATGGCATTGACTTGGATTTGGATATTTTCTTGCAATTTTGTTGCATAAATTGCAGTCTTGGCTTGACATGGACTCTGACTGTGTTGTGTGTTGCTCCATCGAGTGCGTTTCAGGGAGCAAAGTGTCAAATGAAGAGGGAGAAATACAAAAAAAAATTGATTGCTTATATGCAAATTGCTCCCACTTGGCCGTTCGTTGCATTCTAGGCGAACCAGTTTCTCAGACTCTGAATGTGAATCCAATAAAAACCAAACTGATTCCAAATTGATGCTCATAGACGGCAGCGATCAGCGATCAGCGATTTTATGGTATGGCGTGAGAAATGTCTGACAATCGCTAGAGCTAGAGTGCAGAAAAAGTTCTCTCTAACAGAGTGCATCGGTGTGCAGAGGCGTTGGCAACGCAAACGCTCCCAATTAAATAATTTACAATCTTCTAGATTAGGCGCCGCCTCCGATAGTCGACATTGAACGTATGTTACATAGTTATGACTCACAGCTGCACTCATATCTGGTTGACTCTTGAGACTTGGATCCGGTTTGCGGCTTACTGCAGTAGCTGGGCCAAGCCAAGCCAAGCAAAGCCACGCCACGCCACGCCAAGCCGTTGCCGATCCGATCCGATTTGAGTGGCAGGCAGTGGAAAAGCTGCCCCGCTGACACGCACACCTTTTAAGGATCCCCGCGCAGAGAACGTTGGCTGAGAGCAATTAGCTGGCTAAACAAATGTGAGACAATTCTCCGAAATGCCTGCATGGCACAGGCATATTGCATTCGGCATAATTCGCTGTCAAATTGTATGCATTTTAAGAGCTACAACTGCACTCTTACATGCCGAAAGGTATTATGCATATGTGGGGAAGTGCCAATGCTATATTAAGTGTGTGAATTGTTTGATATGATCATTATATGAAGTACATAGATTTATGTACATATTATTGATAGATTCTTGTGGATCATTTCGCAGATCCCTGACGTTCTACCGTCTCCTGATTCCCAGCTAGGATAGAGTATTCCCCTCGCTTAATTCGTCGTGTACAGTTTTGGGGCGTTTTTGTGGTTGCGTTGTCGACTTGGAATAATTAATGCGAATTGGTGTTAATTTATGGTTGTCGCTTTCGTTGTTGGATGGCGTTGCCGCCGCATGGCATTATCGGAAAACTCAATTGGAGGTTGGGCCCACTCTGTGAGAGAGAGATCAGAAGTCAGAGATCGCTGGCTTGCTTGTTAGCAATTTCCTGTCAGCCCACGAATTTCTTGCGTATTGTTCAATATAATTGTTTGGCCTGGCTTGGGCCTGACTTCTATGATTTATGATTGGAAATCACCGACAAGTGCAGCTGCGGGAAATCGGGGAGCGTTCATTTTAGGCAACTTCATTTATTTAAACACACAAAAAACTAAACGTAAAAATAAATTAAGTGGAACAAAAAATAAATAAAGAAGGAAACACTACTGCAGACCTCTGCGTTCGCCCCCCTCTACCTACACGCCCCGCAAATCTCGCTGGCTGTTGGCCGCATTGAAGCTGTGCCCGCCCGCATACATGGGCACCATATGCTTCTTGTCCTTCCGCACCATGCTCTGGACCAGGCTGGCCGATGCGACGCCCTGCTCATCATCGTCCTCCTCTGCGAAATCCTCGAACTCATCCTCCAGCAGTTCGGGAAAGAGCACTGGACCCGCCTTCTCCGGCCGCTGGGGACGCTGCTTGGGAGCCAGACCTGCCTGTGGATGGAATGGCCTCAGCTTCTTGGGCTTGCGCTGGAAGTAGCTGGAGTATTCGGGTCGCACGTACGTCTTGGACACGCCCTTGTACTTGTAGTGCTTCAGGCCGGGCGTGGTGTGCACCACCTTCTTCTGGTGGATGTGGTTGGAGATGGGCTCCGGGATGCTCGGGCGCGGCTTTGAGGGCGAGTAGCTGGTGTGCAGTGACTGCTGGGGCACCGATGCCTTGTGAATATAGTTGTGGGGCACCTCCTTGGGCTTGTAGTAGTCGTAGTACGGATGCTGGTGCTGCTGCTGCTGGTGCTGGGGCTGGTGCTGCGGCGGACTGGTGGTGTAGTGTGGACGGTACTCCTTGGGTTCATTGACTATCACCGCCTTCCAATCGCCCTCCTGCACCGCATAGCTGGGCTGCAACTTCTTGGCGTAGTCACTCTCCAGCTTTTGGGCGTACTCATTCTCCAGCTTGTGCGCGGCAGCGATCTCTTTGTAGTAGTTGTCGCGGGCCTGCTGCAATCTGTCGCGGATGCCCGGCTCCAGCTCCATGGGCACCTGCTTGATGCGGGCATGGGGCTTGATCTCCACCAGGCTGGGGATCTTCGGGTGTGAGTGGGTGAGATCTTCAATGGGCCGCTTCTGTTGCTTGATGTCCGAGCTGAGAACGATGTGCTCCTGGTCCTTGCTGTAATGATTGATCTTCGACTGGCTGGTGTCATCGTTCACTTGGTTGCTGCCCTCCGGCGTGTCCTCCGTGATGGGATGCGAATTGGCACCCACCGTTTTGACAATTGCATTGAAGCCCCTCTTGGCATCGGCCGTGTAGTGAACGGTGCGCAAGGAGCCATCCGGCTCGAGGATGCTGTAGTGTCCCTTGACGCCGTCCTGATCGCGTGACTCCCACTGCGACTTTACGTCGCCCGTGTGCAGATCCTTGACCCCATAGCTGAACGCATATCCCGGATGTTCCTGAGGAAGAGAACAAATCAGAGAAATTTCTGATTAGCAATCGTTGCCAAAAAGCGCACCTAAGAAACGCTATAAAGAAACGCGTGCGTCTCGGAAAAAAAAGCTCCCATGGGGCCCAAACCGCACCTCGAAAATTGTACGCACAATTTTTTGTTTTTTTTTTTGTTTGTTGCTAGACCCCAATGGCTGTGTCAAAGTTTTCATGACAAAAAAAGAAAAAATTCCAAACCAAATAAAAAATGAAATGAAACAAATGCAACTTTTTTGTGTCAAGGCAAAAATCGCGCTGTGCACAGTTTGAGAGCCACTGAAGGAGAGGCATTGGGTTGGGTCTCGTCGTTTTGGTAGCTTGGGGGATTGGGTGTTCTTTTGATCTGAAGCCGCCGTTGCAAGGCAAAGAGCGTATTAATTAAGTATTTAGTTGGACCTCAACACTAGTGAGGCTGCGAAAGGGATCTAAAAATATTTGATTTGTTAGAAAAGAACATCAGAAATTGACCATTCGACTGCCAGTGGAATATTTCTGCTGTATGATATGTAAATAAAATTGTAATCATATCGGTACGCTAATTACTGTGTCTAAACGCAAATGGCTTTCAAAGAATCTTAAATGACATTTTAGATTGTTATTTATGGGCAGCTAACCACGCATTAACCCCATAAAGCCAGCAACTAAATAACCGCATAAAAAAATTTACATAAATTCAATTAATATAAAAATGTAGAGCATTCGTTGTCATTTCGGACAAGTCGGCTGTTATGTTTCTCTCCTCCGAGTAGCGAGTGTGTCTCTCTGTGTGTTTTCCCCTTCTTTTTTGGCACCTTTTGGTTTTTAAGGCAAATTGCAAAAGTTTTTCGCATGCTTTGGCGCTGGCTTCAATTAAGCGCAGACGTCCATAAATGGCCACGCACAAAACGCATACAAATGCAGCGATGCAGCGCAGTGGTGGTGGTGGTGCCTGCTGGCTGCTGCTGTTGCTGCTGGCTGCTGCTGCTGCTGGCTGCAGTTGTTGCCTGCCTATCAATTTTAACTCTCTGGCCGCTGTCGCTGTCCGGACAAAACAAATGATTACAAGCGAGTGTAACCTGAGCAGTCAGTCAGCTGTATATACGCTCAGATATATATGTATATATAGTTTTTAATAAGAGTTGCATAAGTCAGAGCAGCGGGGCCACCCAGGAGATCATTGAGAGTAGCCACGCACTGTAGTCCCACTCCCCAGTTGGTGGTCAATTGCCTGGTTTTTTGTGTGCGTTATTTTTGTGGGTGCGTGTGAACTCCAACTCATAAATTTATGAAATATATGTACAAATATATGAGGGTGAACAATTTATGATTTGTACGACTGGGCGTATGCGCAATATCACTCCACAATTACATGCAAATTACGCATACGCAGCGTTGTCAACATTTTGACAACAAATCGCACGACAGATCGTGGGAGCAACAGGTAACAGGCAAATCAACAACAAAAATGTTTGACAATCCCGACAGTTCCAAAGGCGTTTACCCCATCGACGGGACAGACAGACAGCATGGAAAACATTTTAGCATTTTTTGTTTTGTTCGAAAACGAAAACGCACCTTGTCACAGCCTGAAACAGTTACAAAAGAAAAGAATTCAATCTTGCCACGGGGCCTCCTTTCGCTTCGTTGCTGCAACGGAGACGGAGACGTAGAGATCGCGATCGGATCGTAGGTGCAGCAGGCCTTATATGGCGCCCCCGGGCTGTCGAATCCAACGATCGTGTGTGCACGCAAAACGCATTTTCGGCTACCGCCCCACCTGTCCTCTCTGTCCCTCCAAAAAAAAAAAAGACAATGGTCGGGGTCGGAGTCGGAGTCTGCCTGCAGTCGGGGGCCAACAAGTTGATTTATGTGGGCGGCATCGAGAGATATTGAACATTTCGTATACGAGTCCGAGTACCAGTATGAGTACGAGTCGCATGGAACAACATTCACTTTCAATGGCGGAAAATGCGTTTTCCATGATACAAAGATTACCAAAGGTATTTATGGATCGCTTTTGATGTATTAATCGTTCGTTGCCTGACTTTGTTCGTCCGGTCCATTTTCCGATAGATTGATCAAATATTTAATTAACTGTGAGCTGTCATGATTTATTTGATTAAAAAGTCGTTAGGCGATCACTTTGAAAGAGCGGAATGCAGCAAATAGATTAAAATTGATTAATCATAGGCGAAGTATTAAGGAAAGTATGATTTCAAAATACAATTTATGGGAATGGCTAATTTAATAACTTTTTGGGCTTAAAAACTTTTGATTGTACGGTATTTACTGGCAGCACTTGGGTACTTAAGTTAATTCTCTCCTATTTTCTCCTCTTTTATCTAAGCACATTTTCTGACAGTTCAAACGTTTCAAACTATTCATTTTGGTCACTCCTTTTCGCATTTTGAGCCACAGTACCTGTGCATATGAATAGATATTCCTGACACACATTTTCTTTTTAGTATGCTCAGTGGATACACATACATAATATTTCCTTGGGGGCTGCTGTGATGTGCGGTTTACTTACATATTGTGGGGCATACTCCATGGTTTCATCATCGCTGTCGGCGACCACAACAGGTGCCCCGCCCCGGACTGCGTACACGGGTGCGGGACGTGTCCCCAGGCAGGCGAGGGCCAGCAGCAGGAGGAGGGCACGCAGCAGGGGCGGCAAATGGCTTGTTATCTGCAAAAAGGCATTTAAGCGAAATATGAATGCGTTTTTATCAGTCGAGCGCTTAATAAACGGAGCGATAAAACGAGTTAAGCAAACACACCACAAACAGTTAATAAATTGCCTACAAAATTATTACGCGAGCTTGGCCCGGCCAGGCCCAAAAGAAAATCTGCAGGCAAACGGGGAGCAGCAAATGAAAAAAAAGGAGGCACAAAAATTAATTGGACAACGAATGAACGAAGTCCCAGCAGAAACCACATCCCAGAGCATGTCATACAGCGTTGTGACAGTTGTCAAATGGTAATGGCAAAATACACCTTGCTGTCCAAAATTAGGCAGACAGATAGACACCGAGGCACATTTGTACCGCGCATATGACAGCGAATGCCTGTCTGGGACTCGGCGAAAACTTTTTGGAGATTGATGGCTTTGCTTAAGACCAGTAGCCCGGCTCCGCTCTGCTCTGCTCCGTACCGTACCGTTCCGAACTGTCCCTCTTGGCACTGTCCGTCCAGTCTCGATTTCGAGATGGAAACGGGTCTGGCAGGATGGCGACCATTTGCACCGTACAATTCAATTTTCCCAATTGAAATTGCAATTGCCTTGCCGTGCATTTGTTTCTTTTGCAAATTGCAAAATATTTTTTTGGACATTTTCGATTTGATTTGATTTGATTTTCGGTTGCGAGAGCAATCGCAGTCATCGGATCGCCCCAGCCTCGATTGGCGTGTGTCTTGCTTTGCCGTTAAGCGGGAATTGAGATTTTGGCACTGACTAGGTTTAATTAGCACACTGAGAGAGCCCCCAAGACAAGTGCAAGCATAGTTGCCGAGAATGGCATGTCCGGCATTTCGATTGAAATGCGGCTTAACAAATGATTTGGAATTCGTTTAGGCATGGCAAAACGGAAACCATGAAAAAATGAAAATAATTGAGTCGCATATGGAGTCTCCAAGCCAGAGAATATGCTTATGAGGAAAACAATCCTCTAAATGCTGACTGAGTTTTCTTTTATGAAAATAAAAAGTTGAAAATGCTTAAAACATTTCAATTAATTTTCCAAATGGTTCTTTTTGATGTTTCACTTCTGTTCTGGAAAGTAATTTAGTCTGGCGCTAATTTTCTGCTGTCCTAATGGCTTCATCATTGCATTATTGTCTTTAGTTTTATATGGATTTGCATTCGTGGACATTTGCACGACTTTCACTCAAAAGTGAAAGTTTTTGTTTGCTTAACTTTCGCTTAACATTTTGGTTTCTGTCAACAGCAAACGCCACCTTTGCTTTAAAGATTGTTTAACCCACACTTACATAAAGTCTCATTTTATTTAATAATTTCCTTTATTTGTATATTACTTTAGCAAAAAATCACTTGCACAATACACACTGAGCGTTTAATAACGCTGGCAAAACGCGCTGCAGTCGCTCGACTGCTGTGGCTGTGGCTGCTGCTTCTGCTGCTGCTGCTTCTCGTCGTTGTCTCAATGTCAAGGACAAAACCGTAATTAAAGCGTTTGCGCGGCATTGCAAAAGTATTTATAGATGAAGACGAAGTCAGGACCGGCACAAAGCTTCGGTTTCGTTTTCCCGGCGACAAGATTTTCCGGCTTCACCGGTTCCACTTCCAACACTTGCCAACCTGCCAAACAGACGCGCAACCAAACTGCGATGAGCCACAGCCACAGCCGCAGTCGCAGTCGCAACCGAAGCCGCATCCACAGCAGCTGCATCTGCAACTGCATCTGCAGATGGATGCTGCAGTGTGGGTCGGCTTTGTCGCTTCCTAAGCCCAGTCTAATTGACAATTATATGAAGCTCTCAGAGGCTCCTCCGGTGCGGAGGAAACCCGTTTCGCTATCACCACTAGCTCCCTGACTGGCCGCCCGGCTTCCATTTCATTTCATTCCGTGCCACACCAATTTGGCCGTCTCAACTTTTGGTTTCAGCCTCAAGTAAAAGTCGACGTTGCCGTTGCCGTTACCACGTTGTCATCGTCAACGACTCTTCGCTGCAGCTGTCTAATGGCATTATAAAATTTATATCTGCCAGCATTACGTTTCGACTTTACATAAATTAATGGCGATTTGCTCTGCGAATGTGTCTCTGCTCTGCCTGTTAATCCTAGTTATCCGTATTAAAATCAAGTCGCTGCGACTATAACATAGCATTTGATCAATGGTGGTGGGGCTTTGGTTCGGCCATTTGCCAAAGCATGGCGAAATTTTCCCAGGGAGACTAAAACTAAAACATGACTGGATTATTGGCATATCATGGAGAGATTTGCTTCAGATTTTCGTACTTAAAATCAATTTCTGATAGATTCAAGTCAAATGCTTCAGTTTCGAGTGTTTTTCTGGTTATTAAATATTATTTGCTTATATATTTCAATAAAAATACTACATGTGTTTAAACATCTTGTTCTGGGTCAGATAAATACGTTCCATTCACATCAGAGGTCCCGTCCCGGTTCGTCGATCAGTGCAGTTGCTTCACGCTCACATAGCTGCTGGCATGACCGTGTCCGCCGTGTCCATAGCCACCGTATTGTGCCACATCATGGCCGTAGCCGTAGTCCGCTCCATAGATGCCACCGTGTCCGGAGCCCTTCTGGTAGACCTGAGGATGATGGGCGTGGCCCAGCTTCTTGACAACTGCATTGAAGCCGTTGTGATCGTCGGCTGTGTACTCCACCACGCGGGTGGTGCCATCGGCCTCCTTCAAGGAGTAGCTGCCCTTGACCTTGTCGCCATCGCGCGACTCCCACTGGCTCTTCTGGTCGCCAGTATGGGCATCCTTGACCCCGTAGTCAAAGTGATATTTGGGATAGTGATGCGGTTCGTGTTTTTCGTAGCCGGAATAGCCAGGGCTGGGATATCCATGCCCGTAGACACCTCCATACGCACTGATCACGTCGTGATCGTAGCCGTATCCGTGACCCTTATGCACCGGCTCCTCGTGCTTGGTCAGCACACTGTAGCTCGTAGCGTGTCCTCCATATGGAGTTGCCATACTTGCAGCCACAAATAGGCCCAGCACCAGACCACAGCAGAAATATTTCATTTTGATCGTTGTTGTCGAACCTTTGATGAGGTCTGCTGGTTCTTGGTGGGGCCTCTGCTGGTTTTTATAGCCCCATGCTCTAGCCAAAAACCCATAGAAACCCATTGAAACCATCGGGTGGTCATTCTCTTGGCTTAGCCATTCACCATTCGTGTTGGCAAATTTATTAATTACTTTACTAATTCATAATAATTACTATTATTGTTATTGGCTATTGAGCAGTACAGAAAATCTAATAAATTGCATATTAGAGCAGAGCCGTTACAAATAAATTTGGTTGAAAAGAACTGTAAACAATGAATGTGATGTCTGTATAGTTCGTTGCTGCTGCATTCGTTTTTGGGTTGGTAGTAATTGAGGTAATAAAGCCCCAAACAGAAAAGTATTATATTAGATATTCAGAAATATTTAAGCTACAAATTGATGGTTTTCCGATGGTAACAAAAACCAGACCAAGATTTGCTATAGAAACAGTCGTTCTTGAGGCAATTATAATATGATTTTAATAGTTTAATCCCTTCTATATTTGATTTAAGATCAGTTCTTGTAGATGCCCTTTATCTGACACCGAGTATACTGAATACAATATTAATTATCCTCATGGCTATAATATTGTAATATTCGTTACACAATTCTGTGCAATATTTGAACCTTTTTACCCACGCCAAAATGGCATTCTAGAAGTTCTAAGAAAACGAACCAACATTTCCAAAATTTGTAACAATGACCCTCGCATAGTCATTGTTAATTATAAATATTTGGAAAATATTAGCCACCATTTACTGCGTTAACACCAATTCGGAAGCATTGGACCCCCCAGACCGATCCACTGACTGCTCCACTCGATTGTCGGCCAGTCCACCCTTCTCTGCCGCACTCCCTGCCTCCTCCCCCACCCGGTCGGTTGGCTGTCTCAAGGTCACGCGGAGTGAAGTCGATGGGGCAGGCAGGCAGCAACCAAAGAAACGCAGCGAGGCGAGGCGAGGCGAGGCGAGGCTTACTACTAATTTGAAAGCGGGCCACACTTGTTGATTGATTTCTAAGCAACAAAAACAATCATTGCGTTTTTTCTCATAGTTGGGCGATGTTCACGCCCCGTTTATGGCTTTTGTTGCTGTTGTTGCTGGCTGAGTGAGCCACAATTAATTTGCCAATCGCCCGGATTATGAATACGAATGAGGAAAAATGAAAATTTGCACAAATATTTGAGGCATTTTTCGAAGCATTTTTTTTGGGGCTCTTACTTTTTTTTCTAGCCTATTTAGCCTCGAGAGTAAAATGTAATTAATGGACTGATAGAATGGGCCAAACTAGGTATAAAAGCATTGGGCAGTGTATGTTGGGCATCACAGTTCCAATTGCAATCTGGGCCAAGCAAGTCAGTCAATCCGTCAATCAGTCGAAATAAATCATCGAAAATGGCCCAAAAGCTAACGATCCTCTGCTGTGCCCTGCTGGGAGTAGCCGCTGCCAGCTACATTCCCCATGGCGGCTATGAGCATGGACATGCAGTCGGCTTCAGCATTCAGACGCACCATGAGGCGCCCAAGAAGTGGCACGATCATCAGGAGCAGCATCAATGGGCGGCGGCACCTCAGCACAGCCACCACTGGGAGGCAGCTCCTCAGCAGCTGCACCACCAATGGGCAGTTCCACAGGAGCACCACAAGTGGACATCTCACCACGACGAGCCGAAGCATCACCCAAAATACCAGTTCGATTATGGAGTCAAGGACACAAAGACCGGAGATATCAAGCAGCAGTGGGAGACCCGGGATGGTGATAAGGTCAAGGGAGGCTACACCATGAAGGAAGCCGATGGCCGCACCCGCGTCGTCGAGTACACGGCCGATGCCCACAACGGATTCCAGGCCACAGTCAAGCACCTCGGACATGCCGACCATTTCGAGCACAAGCAGCAGGATCATGGCTACTCTCACGGACATGAACATGCCACCAGCTATGTGGATGTCAAGCAGGATACCGGCAGCAAGTGGGTGGACAAGAGCAGCAAGTGGTGGTAACAGAACTGACTGAAGAAATTGAAAGAACTGATGATTCCGACTAACAAATTAATGTAAATACTGACAAAATTATGAACTTTAGTTAAATAAATCGAAGCAAAGTGCAAGAAAGTGCGATAAAAATATGAGAATGTTGGTTTTGCCTCATCTAAAGACTTTATTTTTTGAATTTGGCGCGCATTTGCGCATAAATGTAATAAAAATGTAAGTGTAGAAATTACACAGAAACAGTGGCGCCGGGCAGCGCTCAATTTTGGAACTATCATATTTTACATACACTTGAACCGCTTGTTTGCACTCAGACGCTTAAGCAGTATATGTTAAAGCAGTCCAAGCAGTTTAACATTTGAAATTTTGTTTTTTTACGACAAAAACGCTTAGAGCCGGTGATGTGTGCGGATTTCCTCTTCTTTGGGAACCTGGGAGTGCAGGAAACTTTCTCAGTACTTGTATCACGTATTAACAATGCTTATAAGTGGCTCAGTACAGTCTGTTTATATACCTATCGAGGAGTAATTGATTTCTCTGTTGGTCTCACTTTTGATTTTTGTTGAGACCGAAATTTTTAAATTCTTTAAATTACCGGAAAATAAACTCCAACCAACCCCCTTATAATTTGGACTCCCAGTTGACAGTATTCCCCACACACATTGATGCAATGCTGCCATGAAAACCAAAGAATCTGGCGCTCGTCATATAAATTCATCAATTAAACATTAATTTATGCTGTGAGGCAAAGTTTTGCGGTCACATAAATCTGCGAGTGTTGTTTGTGCCCGACCCAAGCCGCAACGATTGCTGATGCTGACCCCAGGACAGAACCCCAAAATGATTGAAGCCGTCTCGAAGGGAAAATTCCATTTCCAATGCTCGAAGGATAAGACTGCCACCAAAATGTAAATGATGTTGAAACATTTATTGGTTACAGAGAGAACAATTCCAGGCCGCGCGATAAGCGACAAACTGTTGACAGTTTGGATTCGGTTTGGCAAGGGATATGTTCGTTCGAATTTATTTTGTCCAGCTAGCAGCTGGGTGTAAGGCGAGTGTGTGGAAAATATAGGGACGGTGAAATCCTTTGCCTTTGGCTCATAATTTGCAGCTTCTCCACAAACACACACTTTCGGCCAGGTCGGTCTTGGCCCGTTCCCCTCCTTCTGACGTTCCTTCGTTTTTATGGTTTCATTAAAAATGCAAATGAGCAGTGGAGATTGCAATCGGGGCGCTTGCCAGGCGACCAGGTGAGGTCAGAAAAAGAGCAGACACAGACACAGTGAAATTTATGCCAGGGGTTCAGATTCTGAAATTTATTGTAGCCACTCAGGTGCGAGTATATCGAATATCATGTGAAGTTTGTGCTGCAAGTAATTTATATCTTATGGGGTATAGTTTCGACTGTATACATAACTGAAGTTATCGTCAACTAGCTCTTGTTAGAGTCCGCCACTGGATCAATAATTTCTGCAAGTGTATTCTCAATGGCATAGTTTATGGAATACTTGCACTGTATCTCCCCTCCTCAGCATATTTGTTGCCACTATTTGTTGCGGGGGCCAAAGGCGTTCGCCAGACATAGAGACCAGACCCAAAACGAGAGAGCAATAGCTACAGAGAAGCAGATAAATGGAGACAGTACAAAAGCAACAGAGAAACAGAGAACTGCAGAACTGCAGAACAGAAAGGCAGCTCGAAAGCTGAATTAAATCGTCGAAAGTTCAAAATGAATGAAAGCAGCGAGCGACGAATAAATGAATGAAACGAAATGAATCCCAAAGGGGTGAACTGAATGCAGTGGGGGCTGCAGTTGAAAAGAGCAGCTCATGGAAGACTGTGGTGGTCCTTTTTCCCCTTCCCATCGAGTTCTTGTTCTTCTGATACTGGTGGTCCTTCTTCCTTGTTGTTATGACAGGCGGAGTTCAAGGAGGAGCCGTGCAAAGTTTTGCCTGATTTCGGCGCCGCTCAAAGTATAATAATGTGACCCAACGACCCCTGCGATCCTCCAACCATCCTCAGAGTGTGCATGTGGGGTGCGGGGTGTGGTGGTCAGGGCCGGGGAAAAGTGCACGGCGGCGGCTTGTGCTGCTTCAAGTGCACACTTTCTCATGGCTTAGCACTTTGCTGCATGCCTCGTTGGCTTTTGTAGGGTGACGGCAGCAAGGGTAAGGGGAAGTGAAGCGAGGCGAGCCTAGCCGAGCCTTGGTCTGGAGACAGTGAGAGTGCGAGGGCCAGGATGAGGCTTATGCAACAAATAATTTAATTTTATGCTGGATACAAACAGGCAACCGGCAACTGGCAAACGGCAAACGAATGAACGAACGAACGAACGAACGAACGAACGAACGAACGACAACGGAAATGCCACTTTACGGCCTGTTTGACGGAAAAGTGGACGTTAAGTTGGGAATATGATGATGGAGATGAATACGAGGCCAGTTGATGATGATGGGCATGGCCGATGATGGCTGGGCTGGGCTGGGCTCTGCTAAGCGAGCAACTGAAGGCAACTGAAATATTGCGCATACGCCCCCGTGGGACTGCGACTGCGACTGCAGACACAGCGAGGACAAGGGGCACACAAATGGCATTGAGGTCAAGCTATAAACTGGCCTAAATGTCATATCAACTGAAGATGTGCTCTATGGCACTTGAGCGACATCAAAACGAAGGATTAGGTTATAAAAATGTTGCCTTTTATGCCTTGATTATCATATGAATAACATAATTGGATGATTATATGAGTGCTTCAGTTCCTTGAAGATGATTCGCTCTATAAAGTCTTGGAATATACATAACAGAAAAACCTGAAAAGCTTGAAAATAAATTAAAAACTACATAAGAACCCAAGAACAGAAGAATAAAGCTCTTTCGTATATGTATGCGCTAATTTCTGACCTTCTTATTGGGAATTTTATTTCTTGACTTGTACCCAAAGCATCTACTCCACCCCGGTTTCTCTTACACCACCGACTATACCCCGATTTCACGCCCTTTTGGCCAGCAGACAAATGCCTTCGTCAGACCGAGCAATCAAATAGTTGAAGCGCAAAATATAAAACATAAAATATGATTAACATATCAAAGCCCACAACCAAATTCTGCCAACGCAGACACAAAAGGCACCCCATATGATTGGGGGCGTCGGCGCCTAAAAAAAAACAAAACAAAAAGGGAAAGCAGGCAAAACAAAGGATAACGAAGCATGGAATTTGGGTCTGGCAAACCGAAACTGACCGCCTCATAAATTGCAACAATCACTACAACAATATTAATAGGAAATTCAGGGAACGAGACGGATCAACAAATGAGCAAATATCAAAACCTATAAAACCATTTAGCCAGATGAGCGTGAAATTTCCCTGCTTTCTATATGCCATCACAGAGGGTATTTACAATTTGACAGGGGTTTTGTCACGCACAAATACAGGACAACTACATATAGGCATATACATTTATCTCGATTTGTGACCGCATTCCAATCAAAAGTTCTTTCAGGAATCAGGAAATATCTGCTGCTGGAATATTGCCTTTCATTTGTTGCTTTTTTGGTGGGATCCACTTTAAAGATTGCGAAACAAGATGGGAATCATGAAAGATGAGCAGTGGAGTGGTCAGTGCAGAACGAGGAATGGCCACAAATTTTGAAACAACTGTGACGCATTTTATGAGTATGCCACACCCACATACACACAGAGTGGGAGAGAGAGGAGCGAGGAACCAGTGGCAGGCAGCCATGACACTTTTGGGGCAGCGTTAAATAACATTTAAACAGAGGCCCAGGCCACGTACCAGGGGCGGTACGTGTATGCATGGTGTCTGGTCTGGACTAGAAGGATGCGGGCAGGCCAACATGACGCAAGGAGGCTCTGCCAAAGCAGAAACCAGCAACATTGGCTTCAGTTTTTGGCGGTTGCCGTCCCCTGCACTCCGATGCTGCTCTCTGCCGTTCTCTTGGCTTGTCCAGTTGCTGTCCAGGCATGTTCCGGGCTGCTTATGATGGCAGGAATTAAATTTCATTTAATGTGCCGAAACTTTCCCCACACATGTGGCAGTGGCGTCTGTGGCAGCATTTTATGATAACAAAAGCAGGTCAAAGTGGACGCCAAGTGGCAGCCACACGCTGCCACAGACTGCCACAGACCCTGCCTCTGCTTGTTGGTCAGACCTGACTCCTTGCCGCCTGCAAGCCAACCAACAAAAAAAATATGATTATTTTGCGTAATTAACCTAAAATTATATATGTATTTATGTACTGTGTCAGTCGGAGATTTAGCCCGAAGGTCATCCTTGATGGCCATTAAAAATGCTTTAATTATGGCCCAAACAGATGTTGGCCAAAGACAAAAGAAAACTTTTGCTAATGGGCAAACGTTGAGCGGACTTCGGAATGCGGGAAATGCGAAGAACGTTCTGGTTTGGGTTTTCACACGAAATTAGTTGAGTTTTTGGGTATTGAAACGAGAAAATTCACGCTGAATTTTTGCTATGTTTTGTAATATAAGGACTGAGGACTGTTACAGGAAATAAAGGAACCGTCTTCTTTGTATTTGTTTAGGGCATTCGAATAGCAATAAAGTTCGTACTTCCATCAGTCAATGGTTGTAATGTATTGTACGACGCTCTAACGTCTTTTTCCTTTTCCTTTTCAGTAGAAAACTGCCATAGTGTAGGCTAACGGAATCATATCGAAATGATAGGATAACAATCCAATTAGGTGGGCCATCCCTCCATCAAACACATTACTCATAAACCTCTTACCAGCCCCACTCCAGCAACTCAATCGTGGTATTAAGCCTCCCATTAAGTGCTTCAGCTCCATGGCCTGACCCATTTCAGCTGAATTTTTTGCATAAATCCCTGGCAGAAAACAGAGGCAATATTGGCCCAAGAAACTGCAGCGGCAGGCTCAAAATATAATGCCCATCGCTCTGGTGCTTCATCCACCTACTCTGCGTCCGCAGTCTTGGCCAAAAACCCGTCTACCCACAAAATGGTCCACTTAACGCTTGACTAGGCACAAGGTCGACCAGCAGAATCTACAAAAGCTGCGCTGGAACTGGGCGGACTTTCGATAATTGGAGGGGTTAAACCACCGGAGGAGCTCTCCAGGGAACCAGGGCTTCGAAGGATAAGGGCCAAGAAATTGGCAAGGAGCAGCACGCCGCACTGCTTGGTGCCGCTCAGGTTGGAGATGGTTTTTGGGGACTGGCCACCATCAGCGGGGCAATTGAAGCGTGTGCTGGTGGCGGGGTGAGGGTTATGCCTGTGGCACTAAATTACGTTTAGTGGGTTAATAAAATGCCAAGCACTTTTATGCAAATTGAATTAAATGGAAGCCCTGGCCGGTAGCATCTCTACCAGCAGCATCCGACAGCGGTCGGGAACAGAAAAACATTTAATGCATTATTTATAAAGGATTATCAGGCAGGAGAGACCGAAAGCCTGGGCGTCATGCATGGCAGCAGAACAGGAAGTCAACCTCTGCCTAACGAGGACAACTAATTGCCACTGACAGGAGATCTGCCCCTCTGAATCTCTGTTTGTCTTCAGAATTATATCTCCATTGTTGCTGCCTTTAATTATATGCATTATGAGACGCTCATTAACAAAGCAAATGAAGAAAAGTCGAAGGGTTCGCTCCGTCGGAGCACTGAATGCCAAAAATGAAATGAAAGCTCCTCAACGTTCCCAGCAAGTTCCGCCTTCCCCGGAAGCAAGGCATATAATTCTATAAAACACCTGTGCATGTGTGTGTGAGTGCGAGAGAGGCTGCGGGTAAATATAATTTAAATTTATAAAGCCACAGGAAATTTGAGCTGCAAAAGCGAAATGCCAATTGCATACACTTTACCCAGCAGATAATTGCTTAATAGATATTTAAATAGGAAACGATTCATTAATAGTTTATAAAGGATAATAATATTTAAGTGATTGATCGAATAACATGTGCTGACACACTGCCACTTAAATTTCTTAAGAATAATACATATAATTTCTATATTTCATATAATTAATATAATTAAATTTATACGAAAGTGAAGAGCTGCAGTTTTTACGTTCCACTTTAACATGCAGGTTATTGGCTTTAATTATAGATATTTCTTCCACAGTGAACGAACAACTGGCTCAACAGAACCGGTATACCCTGAGGTGCAGCTTCTATGGCAGCCCTACAATTAGGCTTCCTGTCGCAATACGCATACAAACATGCACACACAAACAAACACACATTTAAGTGAATATAATCGTGGGTGTTCGTGTGTGGCTTGTTTGTGTTTTTGAAGTGAAAGGAAAGTCCTTTTATGCGTACACATTTTCTTTTTTGTTTCGCTTGAAATGAATATACATACGAGCCCATATATGCATGACATTTTACATAATTAACTGACAATGGGCTTATGTAGATACACACACAAACAAACACGCAAACAAACAAACAAACAGACAACATGCATGCATACATATACTGACATATATGTATGTACATGCATTTTCATACATAAGGACATAACCTTTCCCCTGCTCCTGCACCTGCCCCCAGCTACTGGCTACTGGCTTCAGGACTCTGTTCCCAGCCAATTCTCAAAGGACTTAAGTTAATTATCACATTTTTTACACACAATTTTACTTTACATTGATGCCATGCACGACAAGAACGGTGTGTGGGGGTGGAACGACAGCCTGTGGCAGGGGCAGGGTCAGGGAGCAGGAGGAGCGGTTGTAGGCCAAGCATTAAAGCGTAATTATGTGTATAATTTTTTGTAATTTGCTGTGAAAAGCTTCACGGTAACGCATGAGATGAACGCATTTAACGAGACCTACGCCCCACATTGACCCCAACCCGCAGGCTATCAATCCAAACGAAAAAGTTAAATAAACTCATTAATATACGATAATCTGGCCACACATTAAATGCTACTAAATGCTGTTTGTGGGGCTGTAGATGTAGATGTCCCTCCGAACTCAAGACGAGTCGGATGTGCAGAGTGAGGTGGAGTAGGTTCCATTTTTATTTAAATCGAAATACACGGTACGTAGCGAAGGTTATTCCAGGTATTGCATTGGCTTTTGAGAGCAACTCAAAACTTATTCCAGACTTTGCGCATAAATATTTATGTTTTATATTGCCGGGGAAGATCCTCCTCGTGCCAGGAATCTCCATCACCGTCCGAATCACTGATATTTCCATCCTGATCGCCGAAGAGGGTTCGCTCAGCGATTTCCATCTGCGTCTGTAGAATGGCGGCTATCGTGTAGGTCCTTTCAATGCGAATCCTGTGCTGGGCCTGCGCCTTGCGCTCATATTGGTCGTCTTCCATCTCTTGTATCACCTTGGGTTTATCAAGTCGTTTTCGTCCTCTCTTGACACGAGCTGAAGCAGCAGCAGCATCCCTAAGGTCCAGTTCGTGTTTGATGTTCTCGGCGACGGTGCGGTTCTTGCGCTTGTAACTGTGCTCCAGCCTTAATGTTTTCCGTATGAACCTGATAACGTCCGCATACTCGACGAGCAGGAATTCAAAGAATGAGATCTGATCCGTGCGGCTACGATCTCGGACCGCCTTGGCTGCGACAAAGTAGTTGTTGAGTATCGACACGAACACATTTGTTAGCAATATTACGATGGTAAAGGCCATTATGCCGTAGATAAGAATCCCCAGCCATACGCCGCCGTGGAAGAGATCCCTCGGCTCGACATTGTCGGTGAAGCCAAAGGAAAAGCACATGATGGAGGCCAATGCGCTAAGCAGATTCCTGAAGCTATTGCTGCTGTTGCCATTAATGCAGACCAGGGCAATGCCGATTCCCATCATGAAAATGCAGATTACACAGGCCGTGTTAAGGAGAGCACTCGAAGCCAAGGACAGGGTCATCGTAAAGACCTGAAAGATGCTGGAAAACTGCATCACCTTCCACAGACGCAATGTGATCAGGCAGACTAGGAAGCCCGTCGCAATGCTGTTCCAATCGTTGATTCGCCCTGGTACACGGAAGTCAATGAAATCATGCGTGCTGGACACCTCTAGTGTATGCATTAGAGTGACGACAATGTTTGTCTTCAAAATCATCAACGCCACAACTATCATGCTGAGTAATAGGATCGCCAGGTCAATTTTCACCCAGAACAACTTGATTCGCTTGGGCTCGAACCACAAGGGCACAATCACTGCCGTTCCGAGCTGCATCCATATAATCACATAGGCAATGAAAAATATGAAGATATGCCATGGAAGGGTCTCCGTCGTCATCGTCATGGACACAGTATTGACATCCACGCTGCTCCGGATAGTGCCAAAGGGCATGTTCTCCACCCGTATACTGCAAATACTGAACAGATCCGCATCCGTATTGTACAGCGTGAAGTCGATGAATACAGCTGCGGTCTTGTCGTCGAGCCAATTTTTTTCGGTCAGATATCTGAGCACCTTATGGCTTTCCCACTTCGTATTCCGCAGCGTAACTATGTAGCCCTTCAGCTCGGGATAGCTTGTATAGAATCCGTACTGCTTGAGGTTAATGACTATTTTCTCCCAAAAATTATAAACTTGCGACATTGGCAGCCAAGGTAGATAGATGGACCAGTACTTGTCGGTGTAGGGTTCGCGTACATAAGGTAGAATCCAGCCCTCGGAATAATCCTCATTGGTGTATCGCGGTTCACCTAAGCCGAATTGTTCTCCGGTGTCCCGCAGCTGCCGTAGTCGTATTACGCCCAGGAGCTTAGTGCTATTTATATGGTGCCAGTGCGAGTTGAGACGATGAGGATCATTTGACAAGAAGCCATTGATCAGCGTGTGCTCAATGAAGGGATACAGTTGATGTATAAATAGCACGTGATTTAGGCCCATCGATTTGCGGTGACCATAATTCATTAGGGTCGTGATGGTGTCCCAGTTGTGGTACTTGTAGTCGTCCAGCGCCACATTGATAAATAGATTGATAATAAAGACCTTTCCGTACACCCAGAGCTCGCGGACAATTGTCCTGTACTTGAGGTTCAGCTCCTCGTCGCGATGTCGCTCCGTGATCAATAGCTGACTGCGCAAGCTGCGTAGCCGCAGATTCAGATAGTCCATGCGGGTGTGCTTCTTCGCAGTCGTGTCCGGAACGGGCGGGCGTTGCAGACGTGGCCAGCAGGCCGCGTCAATGGCAATTACCAAAAATCGTAATGGATCGAAAACCAGGAACTGAAATACCACCACCATTATGAACATCGCCAGGATCGCCTTGAATTTTCTTTCCTCGTGATTGAAACCGGAGCCAAGGCATGTGACGAAGAAGCACGTAATTATTACGAAACTAGTGACAATAAATACCATGGGATTCGCCATTTAACTAGTATTATCGGGCTCGGCCTTTTCTAACCAAAAAAAATATTTTCTGTTTCTTGTGACTGACTTTAGAAGTTTTTCTAAGTAATAGATATTCAACAGCTCACTCGACGAAACGGAACAAGAGCTCTCTTTTTCAACGACTTGCTCATTCCCAGAGGAGTGGAGAAAAAATCAAATCTAAGCGCAGATTTCAAACGAATGATAAAGGTATATTTATAGCTACCATCTTTATTAGAAATTTGCCAAATTACTTTACTTTTTTTATAGGTATAGTAGAAGCAAACAATATGTATTCAACAAAATATAATACTTTACCCGAATCTGCCTGCCAGCACGATGGATTTCGGGCAGCTATATAGGATTTTGCTCATCCCTCTGCAGTACGTAGTTTTCATTGCCTTCACTTTTCATTTTCATTTCATATCCATTCGCATCGGCCATTTCCGCCACTTTTCCTCTGGCCCCAGCCAGTGGAAATCTTTTTCCTTTATGCCAATTGGCAGGTCACACCAATTGAACTTTAATCGCTGCTGACTTTTGTCATTGCTTTATCGTTTAGGCGACAACACAGAGGTCCCTTCCCTTTCCCTTCCCGACACCCAGATGACTCTCAGCTGCTCGAACGTTGCCAAAAAACCAAAAAAAAGAGCGGTTCAGACGTAATCCCTGAGCGCCACTGGGGTCCGGTCCGGTCTTGCTCGGGTTCGGCGCTCTTTGTCTCATTGAATAGACGCCGGCCACGCCCCTTTTGGGCCCGCCAGTCCCCGATCTGTGAGTGTGTGCGTGTTTAACTACGCGTGTTCGAATTTTTATGTTCGTCAGTTAGAAATTTTCGGCCATTTCAGCGAAAATTAAAAAAAAGAAAACCCAAAAACAGGGTCCATTGAAGAGAGACAGAGAGAGAGAGAGTGAGAGCCAAGAAAAATGTGTCGTACAAATCTTTGAAATTGCTCCACCGAGAACTATTTTCAATGCGTCGGAATCAATAAATTTTCCGAGCCATTCGCGGCAACGTTTTGTCTGACAATTTGCCGGCATTTCCTAGATTTCCCCCCGGGTCTCCTGCTCCTGCAGCTTGCCCATCCGGGCCATTCCAGTTCCCTCCTATACTCCATCTCCATCGCCCATCCATAGTTTGTGCTGTCGGTAATCGTAATTGCGGGTCTGATAAATATTAATGCCAGAGTGCGGATGGATTCTTGAGCCTGAAGATGCTTTTTCGGGGCCAAAACGTTTGCCCATTTCTGCCGTTTGTCTAATGCACGTTTTATGGGGAACTTAGCACGTGTCTACCTCTACCCACCCCCTCAACCAATCCACCTTTGACCGGCAGAAAATATATTATTTGAAAATATTTTCAGTTTTTCTTCTCTTCTGTTTTTAGTTGCTATTTTTATTTTGCTGCAGCAGCATCAATGCCGCAGTGACTATAAATTTCAGTGAAAGTCATTAGCAAATAGGCATAAGAGAGTCATACAACGATCGGAATACAAATTCGGTGTGTGGAGCATGTGTCTTTTGTGGGGGTGGCAAAGGGTGAGAATTGAGATTACATAATCGACATTTCGTTATATATATTGAAACTGTTTCGATTCTTTAAGGGGTGTACAAATATTGCATAGGAATCCAATATTCTTGGAATTATAAATAATAAATAAGTAGTTTGATTTAAAATTTCTAAGAAATAAATACGTAGAAATTTGTGTAAAGGTTCAAATGTTAAGACAACAAATCAAGTACATACTCGTACTACTATTCGCCGCGGAAGAGATTGGCCATCAGTTTCAGTATAGGGACAGTTCTAAGGTCAATAATGATTTTATTGCGAATCAGCAATATGGGAACATGTCGGTATTGTTTTTCACAGAATTGTATCTGTGGGGTGGGGTAGCAAGAATTGCATAATACATAGTGTTCTCGAAAATAATAGAAATAATATAAATAAATCGGCAGGAGGCAGTTTTTAGTGGTACTTAATTGCTATGTAATAAAAGCGACCAGTACCACCGATAAGAAATACAAATTATATATGTATGTATATATTTGTTCATATGAAGCTCTGGTATGTAGCTGATTAGCTTCTGTGAATTTTTTTCAAAAATATTCTATTGAAATTACTGATTGATTAAAGGGCTCATTTAATGCTGATTCTGGTGCAACATAAATCAGCCAAAAAATGTTCCTAAGCCTATGCAAAAATAAACATTCAATTAAACATTATGTACTTTCACATAAAACGTTCAGGGCCATTTGTTTTCACTATTCGACTGTGAAAATGTTAATCGCTTTTAGCTGATGCAATTCAAATGTCAATTGCGTTGATCCATTACTTAGTTTAGTTGTCTGTCATGTGTAGTCGTATGTATAAATTAGATTGAACTGAAATCAGCTCAACACAACTCAAAACTAGACGAAAGTTCACAGACAAACAGACACGAGTCATAAGCAATCACGAAATTGTAGAGTATTCAGCGCTCAGCTGTTTAGCTGCTGCCAGTAATTGTACGCTTCGGAAGCTGGCAAAGACACAGTTATCGGCTAACGGTCTCGGGGCTGCCATTAATTAGCCATAAAATTCAGTTTAGTCAATTAGCCACATTGCAAAGCCTCGATACGCGCGTACAATAGTGGCAGCTCTGACAACAGGCTTACCCTGTGTGTCGTCCAGATAATTAGCTTGAAAAAAAAATACACCAAAATAAGCCCATATATATATATGAAACCAAGCCAATGGAGGGGCGAAATAGAGACATTTTCAGAAATTCTTTATTTGTCACCAAGCTAAAAACAAGCCAAACAACTTGTACAAACAAAGCGACGAATAAGCCACACAAAATTATTATCTGATCTCCACCATCCAGAGGGTCAATAGAACGAAACAATTCAAATAATTAGTAAAGCCAAAAGCACACAGCACATTTAAAATATGTTGGTTTTTTAGAGCATTTTCAGCCAGAGATGGGAGATCTGATGGGGGATTTTGGTGCACAAAATATTCAAGGAAATTAAATTACATTTAATATTAATAGAAATTTAGTGCATTTTTGGCAAAAGAGAAACAAAACAGGCCAAGAAAGAGATTGCAGAATAATTTGTAGAACCGACTTTATGCCCCAATAATTTACGGATAGTTCCAGTTATGCTAACATCTCGCACCCTGTGATTACTAACCTACGACATTTGATACTGTATTATATCAGCCCTATCCAAAAAAAAACGCCCATAATTTGCTGGCGTAACTTGTGTTAAGTAATTTCCCAACGATCTAACAATCAATTAAATAAAATTCATAGAAAATTTCGCATGATTATATGCAATTATCACAATAGGTTTCCCATTTCCAATATATGAACCCAACGAGGTGTTCAAAATCTGCCCAAATTTGTACTCAGTTATGCGAACCATGAAAAACCCAAGCAACCCCTGGCATGGCCTGATCCGGACACCCCATGATCATCTCGGGTGGTGGTGGGTAATGACTACTTGTGTTAGCTGGCAAAGAAATGACCAAACCTGTCTTACAGAGGGCGGTGCAAGGCTATATATAGACCCTAGTGGGGGTTTGGCTGCTGGACGGATTGGCCACCGATAAACCTCGTTCCGCAAAATATCTCGTAAATACCAGGTTGAATGAGAAATGCCCAATTAGTTGGGTTTTTTTTTTGTCGCTTTTGCTCGACTTTGTTTCTGTTTTGTCAGTCGCTAGGCCTGGGGTTTGGGGTTTGGGGCTTGGGGCTTGGGGCGAGTTGATCTCGCCCGAAGTTCGGTGGAAAGTGAAAACGACTGTCAACAGTTAGTCAGCGGCTCGAGGCAGAAACAACTAGACGCAGACGCATAGACTAGCGCGGATTTATCTCTATTTTAAGTTCTCTGTCTCTAGCTGTCGGTGCGCTACTTCAGCTCTGGTCGTGCTGTGAACTACACGCGCCTTGCGGCTCCCCCAATAAAAATATCATACAAACAGACAATAAAAAAACAATTAATATAACAAAATCCTGTATTTTGTGTGCCTGTGTCCGTGCGTGCGTGAAACCAGAAATCTCAAGCTCCACTTCCGGCTTCGATTTAAATTTGAGACTTGTATAAAAAAGAACAATTCCCTCAAAATGATATTCGGCCGCTGGACGCGTAAGCAAATACTCACGATGTGCGGTTTGGGTGGCGCTGTTGTGGGCGCTATAATTATAATCGCTGTGCTCAACAGCAATGTGTCTGCCAAGGAGGTGCCCTGGCATGATGCAGCCACATCCAAGTGCTATAAGACCCGTCCCAATACAACCCACTCAACACTGGAACTAGTCCACATTGTGTTCAGGCACGGCATTCGCACCCCCGTGGATACGTACCCCAACGATCCCTATTTGAGAGATGGCTTCAAGCCAACGGGCTGGGGACATGTCACCAATGTGAGTAGATCACAAGAGTTGAGGGACCATTGTTTATTTTATGATTCAATTAAGATATCTGCTAGTTATCTTATCCTCCGTTTTTATCACCGTTTAAAGAATTATGATCTAAAGAATTCCTCTCTCTCTCTCTCTCCCAATGCAGTCTGGCAAACGAGAACTCTACGAAATGGGCCACTGGCTGAATCGTCGGTACAGCGAATTTATGGGACCCTACTACAGACCCGATGTAAGATCTGTGCACTCTTTGGTTGCCAAATTGTAAAAGTCTGAATCCCTTAGCGCTTACATGCACAAGCGACAGCGTCACCCCGCGCCATGATGTCCCTCCAGACGACACTGGCCAGCATGTTTGAGCCCCGTGGAACTCCAATGGAGTGGAACAAGGAACTCAACTGGCAACCCATACCTATAGTTTCAGAACCTCTAGACCAAGATTCGGTACGTTCATATCCATCCTCGTATAACTAAAGTAAGCTGAAATAAAATTTACAATTTTGCTGCAGCTTTTGCTGGTTCGGACGCCGTGTCCGCGCTATTTTGAGGCCTGGGAAGAGGTGTTCAAGCGGCCCGAAGTGATTGCAGAGACAAAGCCATACGAGCAAATGTTCCGGGAGCTGACCAATCTGACTGGGATGCCGGTGAGGAATGCCGAGGATGTGAACTCCCTGTACATCACACTGCTGGCAGAGCAAGAGTTTGGCTATGAGCTGCCCGCTTGGACCAAGGATTACTTCCCCGATCGCATGCAGTTCCTGGCCGAACAGAGCTATATCTACAATGCCTACACGCCGGAGATGCAGAAGATCAAGGGTGGACCCTTCCTCAAGAGGATGTACAAGGAGATGTCCGAGAAGAGAGATGGCAGTCTGAAGCCCAAAGATCGGGGCATGTACATCTATGCGGGACATGACTGGACTGTGGGCAATATACTGTCTGCCTTGGGGCTTTGGAAGCGTCAAATGCCTAGGTTTGCGGTAATGGCTATCTTTGAGACGCACAGAGATAAGCGGACAGGCGAATACTATGTGGAGGTAAGCAATGAAAAGTGACTTTAGATGTGAATCGTATCATTTCCCCTTTCGCTATCATAGATCTTTCTACGGAACGACAAACACGGCTGCCTGGAGCAGTTGCAGCTCCGTGACTGCGATCGTCAGTGCCCCCTGAGTCGCCTCATCGAACTAAGCAGCGAGGTGCTGCCCAACGAGCCAATGGAACAGCGGTGTCGGCCCCACAGCCCCGATTTTGTGGAACCGCCGCCGCGTCTGATCGATCAGAATGCGGGACGCTAGCAATAATTGGGTACGGGCAATTTTCGCCCCTGCTGCTGCTCAGTCGCAATGAACTCAGTATTATAATAGCAGTCGAATGAAAGTTGTGTTAACAAAAGATTCAAAAATTAAACAAATAATACAAATAAATTATGGATGAAAAAAACCCCAAAAAATAGAGTCAAGAGTTCAATGAGCGAATATTTATTTCGTGTGAAGCAAATTAAAGATAATTTTGTTTTTTTTGCTATTATAGTGGATGATTGCGCTGATTGAAGCGCTCGCTCTTCGTTGCTCTTCGTGTGTTTCACTGTGTGTGTGTGTGTTTTGCTTAATGTATGGGTGAATACATAATCGCGACTTAAAAGCCGACCGACGTTCTATTGATGCAGTCACTCAACGCACAAGCCTCAGCTCAGTCGGTCTACTTCATTCTACCGCTCAACCCAACCCAACACAATCCAAGCCAAATCAACTATGAAGCTATTGGGCCTTCTGCTCTTTGTGGCCTATTGGCTGATGGCTATTCGCGCAGCCAGTGTGCCCGGCATCGAAGTGCCCGTGGAGGTGCCCGAGGAGGTGCTCCCCGAGGAGAACGAAACAGCCAAGAATACAAGCAGTGAAAGCAGCAGCAACTCCACCCTGAAGCTGGTGCATGTGGTGAGATCAAAGTGAAGTGTGAATAGTTATATACAAAATTAACAATTTTTTTGTGAAAATTGTTCTAATTGAGGGCTTGTTAAAAATTTGACAACTTGCCAAGTCAGCAGACCATAAAATTAAACAAAATTGGTTAAATATTAACGTGAAGTCATAGAGCGAACGATTCGAGTGTTTGGTTAATTCCTAACTTTCAGTTTGTTCTCTTAAGTAAACCGTGCCAACAAATGGGTTTTCCCATGAGAAAAAATCTCTTAACACACAGCGCAAGCAGAACGTACTGGAAACTGTTCCTAGGCCAGTGCGCGTGGCGACATGGCGTATACCTAATAATATATTAAGTATGCTGTGGGAAACCGGTTCAACTGAGTAAACTTCAATTAATGTAGCAACTTATTGTATAATTTGTGTTCCCATTAATATCTACATTATAGTTTATTGTACAATTTAAATTTATTACGTATTGGAAAAGTCCCATATTAATTGTTATTTAAATTATTGTTAGATTACAAATTAAGAGATTTTACTAGTAGGCAAGTCAACTCTTAAAAGTTTTTTCTGATTTTTTGATTAAATTTAGAAGGTGGTCAAGCTTAAATAATCCTTAGGGTGAAGCAGCGTTAAAATATTGAAAGTAGATTAAAAATAGATTGCTTTTTAAATTAAATTTGTAGCTACACACATACATGTATTTTAATTGATTTACCATTATTTTATATTAGCTCTTTCGCCATGGTCCTCGCACACCCGTCAGCACCTATCCCAAAGATCCCTATATCAACGAAACATACGAACCCTATGGCTGGGGACAGTTGACCAATGTGAGTATATAAGCAAAACTCATGAAAAAATAAAAATTTTTAATATATTTTTGTTTTGCAAAGTCTGCCAAGGTTGAGCTATACAAGATAGGCAAACAACTGCGAGGCCGCTATAAAGATTTCCTGGCTCCCTACTATCAGCCCGACGTAAGTGGCACAAACTCATGATAATCGGTCCCATTTTAAGAATGAAATCATTTCAGATGATCCGAGCCCAATCATCGGCATCCCCACGCACCATGATGTCACTGCAAATGGTGCTGGGAGGGCTCTTTCCACCCGAGAACACGCCCATGGAGTGGAATCTGATGCTCAACTGGCAGCCCATACCAATCCTTGTGGAGCCCGAGGAAACGGATGTTGTAAGTGGAAATTAAAACAGCATAATACAGTGAAGTAATTTAAATATTTTATTGTTTTATCAGCGTCTACGGATGAAGGTTCCTTGTCCCCGCTACGACGAGGCCGTGCAGGAGGTGATGAACAGCCCCGAGGTGAAAGAGTTTCATGCCCAAAACTCCCAGCTGCTGCAGGAACTGACCGATCTTACGGGTCTCAATGTGACCTATGCCCACGATGTGACCAATGTTTTCATTACGCTGCTCTGTGAGCAGACCTACGGCCTGGAGCTGCCTCAATGGACCAAGGAGTACTTTCCCGATAAGATGCTGCCACTGGCTGCCCAGTCCTACATCTATGACGCCTACACGACCGAGCTGCGCAAGCTGAAGGGCGGCTTCTTCCTGGATCACATCTTCGAGCAGATGCAGTCGAAGATCTCCGGGAAGATTCAGCCTTCCGATCGCAAGATGTACATCTCCTGCGGTCACGATTGGACCATTACAAACGTGTTATCTGCACTGGATGTGTGGCAGCCGCAGATGCCACGATTCTCTTCCCTCATTGCCTTCGAGCTGCGGCAGCATGACGATACGGGGGAGTATTTCGTGGAGATCTTCTTCCAAAACGATCCCAACAAAGAGCCGGAGCAACTGCAGGTTCCGGGCTGCGCTAAACAGTGTCCCATTGAGAAGTTGCTGGAGCTTATGGAGCACGTCCTACCAGACGGCTCCTACCAGCAGCTGTGCCTGGCCAAGGGCCCCGTCAATGGTGCAAAGATCAGCTATCACAAGTGATACCTGCTCGACGATTGATGGGTTGAATGATGATATATTGTGCAGTATTAAGCTTACATAAAGTATATTTTATCTCTACAACTTTTAATTGACTTATTGAGTGATTGGCACGACTAATTGTTATATGGATTGATGTAGAAATAATGGGTGTTACCTGAAGTGTGCGTGTTTGATGTCGATCTCTCGTAATCCCGGGGAGATTCATCAGTAATAAAAGCTCTTAGAAAATACCCTACCATTCAGATGGTTTGACCAAATATCAGAGATCAGAGGGCATACTTTTAGGCTATCTTTGATAGATAATTATGCTGAAGTATACTTTACTCGAAATATTGTATATTACTAAAAATGAGACCATGTTCATTACTAACACTCAGCCTTATGTATTGCCAATCCTTCTGCATGGATACTTGGATCTTTAGTTACACTTCGATCAACCCCTTCTCTCAACATAGTCGATCCCCTTGCATCGTATAAAACGTTTGCTATTCCATTCGAAGTCAAACAGTTGGCATTTGGGGCTTTACGTGCTCCACTCAATCGAATCGGAATCAGAAAAAAAACAGCCGCATGAAAAGAAAAACAAAAGGGCAAAAGAATATAATTTTTTGAAATTCAAACCATTTACATTAACTTCCGGACTATGACGGAACCATAAGGCAGCAAAAAACAACACAGCCCAGCCAAAAAAAACATGATATAATTCAAGTTCTGTTTCGTTTGTGCAATTAAGAAGATGTTCGATCTGGATTCGGGTTGGTTGCTGAAGGATTTATTACACGAGTGTTTAAGTACGCAATTTTGGTGACGAATTCGTTTGCTTTGTGGCGGGAAGTGGTCAGGGGGGCACACACTCACGGGGAACACTCGTAAAGCGGGGAAGAATCGAGTTCATATAAATTAAAAGTAGCCCGCGCGATTTAAATCGCCTCAAACGCAACGGCATTGTTGTCGCAGTCTCTCCCTCTGGGCTTCTGCTCTGTTTCTGCTCGTTCGGTTCGGTTCGGTTCAAACCCGCCAGCCCGCCAACCCCACCCACACACAAGCAAACACAAAAGACACTACAATAGTAGCAATAAAAAGAAATAACAAAACACTATAGGAAAACCGAATAATAGTAATAAAAAAAAAAAAAGTGCGACGGCGACGGTGACGACAGCATTTGGCGATAATGAAACGATAAAAGACCTATGGAACACATGCTTTTGAGCTCTGCCTTTTGCAGTGATACAGGCCCACAGTATTGTTGTAGATAGTGCATCGCTCAGACATTGACACAGTCGTGTGCGAAGACCACAGCCGAAAATCGAGGAGTCAAAATTTGAAATTATTTTTAAAAGTTAGTCCAAGGCAAACAAATGATAGCAGCATGGCTACACTTGGAGCAACGCATGTAATCAATTGATTCTGCTTGGAGAGTGGGACAAAACCAGTTTGATGTTTTTAAATTAGCTAGTTTCGTGGTCGTGTTTTATGGGTACAATAATTAAAAACCCCGAAAAAGTGATACATAAGCCAAAAGCCAAATATACATATGCGAAGCCAACGGCAAAAGGAACACGTTAGTCGGTGATCTGTCGCGAGTCTGTGGACGGACCGGGCAAGCTCTCCAAACCAAACCAAACCGAAACGCAAGCGGAATCCGAGCACCACCGTCACAAGTTCTATAAAGAGCGTCTGTCAAAATGCCGCGTTCGCATTTCACTCGGAGGCATTGTCTAGCGATGACGGGCGGTTTAATTGCAACGGGGCTGCTGCTGATCTGGTGTCTGGCACACTCTACGATCGTATCGGGAAAGCTGTACGATCCCGCCGCTGATAAATCTACGCTCGAGCTGCTTCATGTGGTAAGTCAGGGGCGTGTGTCGCGAATCGTGAGCATCTCGTGTGCATCCAACAAAAACAAAGACGTGTTAACAGCTGTGGCGAAGAGCTCTCAATGAACGAAACTGTCCAGACAGCAAGAGCTTGTAGTGCATCCAAACACTGAGAGTGGATCTGAAATGTGAATACATAGAAATGAAGAAATTTGCTTGGCGAAACTATAAGTTTCCACAGAAATTCAGGCGTCAAAATTACAGTGGATAGTTGATAGTCAAGGTGAATATCAGTCCAAGAAGGTTATGCTACAATGGAAATAAACATCGTTGAGATCACATGGAAGACACGGCAAACAAGTAAACATCTTTATGATCTATCGTATACTTTCTTACATACATACAAAAAATCCCCACAATCATTAGCCGTAACTCAAATTATTGCAGAATTGTTTGTTTTGTTTATTTTCCCGTTCCAGAATAGCTGATAACACGAATTACGAGTATTTTCGTACAAAATAAAATTTAGTTTTGCACAGCCTTGAGAATTCCCTGGCATTGACATTTGCATAGAGGCCAAGTGAGAGATTATTACGTTGATAAAGCATTTCGTTTATAAAGATGCGGGCAAAACAAAATATAACAACACAAATCGCCAATTTGCTGTAGCAGGGTGTAAAAGTAGAATTACTCGATGGAATTCTATGAATTAAATAGGCTGTCGTCAGCGGTAGCAGATAAGAGTCAAGTACCGCGAGTAGAATTATCAAAGCGAGTCAAATGACTAACCATGGGAATGGGTGGGGAAAGTGAAGGTGTACGATAAAGCCATGGCTGTTGAAACAGGTGGAATTACCAAAAAAGTTGTCTCAGCTGTTGTTGGCACTCGACCCGACCGCGCAGTGCTACATCAGCTGTCGGGCACTGCCACTGAATTGAATAATACTTTACATATATAATTATTATCAATTACACTTGATTTTCAAAAAAAAAAAATAAATATATATTCAAGTGCAGCCAAGCGGAGAGCTCAACGGAAATTATTTCTCAAGCTGAAATTCCATTTTCTTGGAACGTCAGTTCAAAGTGAGTTATATCTAACTCTGGGAAAATATATTGGAACGTGGCCAGGCCCAATTAAATAATGTCTTGGATGATTTTTGTTGGTTTTTTTATGTACTTTGAACCCTCAAAAATTGGATTCGAAACCTAGTTTCAAGTTGTTTAATCTCTGCCACAATAAATACGTATTTTATATATTTAAATTTAAAATTTGCGACTCAATTAGAACCTTGTTGGTGGTAGCTCTGTGTGTTTAAATGAACCTGGAAAAAACCTGTTTTAAATTCACTAATTAGTCCCACAAAAAAAAACACACGAATTCATCCATAATAACTTTTACTTTAATTAAGTTCACAAGCTTATAAATCACCAAAAAGTAACCAAAAGCAAATCAAAACAAAAACACAAAAAAAATATAAAACCGGCTACAAAAATTACGGTTCGCACAAAAAACCAGTCTACAAACAAACCAGAAATGTGTAAAACTGCGACGCACTTTTGATTTTTGTTTGACGCCTTTGATGAAATGGAAGCCCATTTGGCAGAGCTCGTGGTTGACCTTCGGCCGAGACGCACTCTTATCAGCCGCAGAGATACGAGAAGCAGCATTTAAAATAGATGCGGAAAATACTTCCGACACTTTGGAATCAGCTGGGTGACGGCACATGTCTGATTGCGGCACTGGACCCCTCCTCTTTCTCTCTTTCTTTCTCTCTCTCGATACTCCGGGTGGTCATACCGCGAGTCGCGTGCTAGTGCCAGTGCGAGTGAGCCTTAAAGCTGGGAGAGCTAATTAAAGTGGTTTTCTTTCACTTTGTGAAAAGGGAAGGAGGGTAGGGTTCTAGGTGGTAACTCTGTTTGACTAATAAAAATTGTAATTGCTAAACTTCAGGTATTCCGACATGGACCACGAACGCCGGCGGATACGTATCCAAGGGATCCGTATGTAAATGAGACCTACTATCCCTATGGCTGGGGACAAGTAACAAATGTGAGTGGAGAAAAAGTTGTGCTGCAAAAACTTTTGCACCATCATTCTGTCCCCCAAACCCAAACCCAGAGCTGAGAGCCGCCCAACCAGCAAAGCATTTAAATAAATTGAAATGCAAATGTTTTCCAGGAATGCTGGGGAGAGGATGCTCGGTTTTGGTTGGGGGGGTGGCAGTCTGGGAGGAGTAGGGACGGCTGCATTAACATATACACATGCATATGTTTATGCAATTGCAAAAATGCAAGGCATTTATTATTTTATAACACTTCTCTCCATCTCTGTCTCGGTCTCGATTGCTGTCTCCGTCTGCTCCATGCCTGCTGCTGCTGCTGTTGCTGCTTGGACTCTTTCTGGTGTTCCTCTGGCCTGGTGTTGTCTCACGTGCCATCCGCTCATGCCATGCAATAAATCAACGCTACAGAATGGCAAACGCGAGCTGTTCAACATTGGTACTTGGCTGCGTAAGCGTTATGGCAAATTTCTGGCGCCCCACTACAGTCCCGATGTGAGTAAGCAGTCACTAACGAACCGACACCCCACACTATCCATGACCACGTTCCATCCATGGGGTGTGGGGTTGGGGCGGCTGGTGTCTGATAGTGCGGACGTTTACAAATTGCAAAGCTCAAGCGCGCTCGGCTCATCACTCAATTTCTTCTTCTCCTTCTTTTCGTTCTCGCTGCTCTTCTGCTTTGCTGTTCTCTTTCGTTGCCGGGTTCGCTTCTGTGCTTTCCCGATGATTTCCGTCCGTGCAGCTGGTGCACGCACAGGCGACGGGAGTGCCGCGCACCCACATGACCATGCAGACGGTTTTGGCCAGCTTCCTGCCCCCGAAGGGCACTGACATGGAGTGGAATAGCAAGTTTAATTGGCAGCCCATACCTGTCTTCTCGCAGGAGCTCAATGAGGACACGGTGCGTATACTTCATAAACTATAATGATTTATTGTACAGCCAGATTCGCATTGAGTGGTATTTCATTAGGTTCATACTATGATTTAGCTTGGCACTCAATTATTTTTAACTGGGCTGGAATTCAATTTAATTATTTATAATCGATCGCACAGCTGCTGCTCGTTCGAACGCCCTGTCCGCGCTATTTCGAGGCGCTGCATGAGGTCTATGACCTGCCTGAGGTCAAGCAGGAAGTGGCACCCTATCTGGATATGTACAAGGAGCTGGAGACGCATACAGGTCTCAGTTTCAAGGAGCCTGAGGACGTTCAATCCCTGTATCTGACGCTGCTGGCCGAACAGGAATGGGGCCTGAAGCTGCCCGAGTGGACCAACGCGTATTTCCCAGAGAAACTTCAGTTCCTCGCCGAGCAGAGCTACGTGTACAATGTGTACACACCCGAGATGCAGAAGATCAAGGGTGGGCCATTCCTCAAGAAGATGTTCGGTGAGATGCAGCAGAAACGGAACGACACCCTCAAGCCGAGTGCCCGAAAGATGTTTATCTACACCGGCCACGACTCGACGGTGGTGAACATTCTCTCCGCCCTGAAGATCTGGGAGCGTCAGTTGCCGCGCTACTCGTCAATGGCAATCTTCGAGCTGCACAAGAGCAAGGAGACCGGCGAGCACTGGGTGGAGATCTATTTCCGCAACGAACCCAAGGCGCAGGCCCAGAAACTGACCGTGCCCGGCTGCGAGTTCAAATGTCCGCTGGACAAGTTGCTGCAGCTGGCCAGGGATGTGGTGCCCACGGAGCTGGATGACAATCGGTGCGACTCCCGCAACGAGGCATTCACGGAGCCACCGCTGCGTGGCCCATAGAGAGAGTGATAAAGGTCGAAAGAATTCTTACAGGTGCTACACATCTCAGGGAGTGGGACATGCCAGTCCTGCCAGTAAGCCTCAAATAACTAGTTAAGTCAGTCGTTGTCATTTAGCCTAAGCCTAATAAATGTGTAAAGGTTCAGAGTTCAGCTCAGATATTGTCTGTCAACGTCATCGTCATAGTCTGTGGCTGTTTGTGTCTGTGACTGTGCCTATGGCTTCCAGTTTGCTCCCAGTGCGCCTCATGTGGTAGCCAAGTTGGCTCATTTCCGCTTTGTGGCGTCGCCTGCCGCCTGTCGACTGTCGCCTGTCATTGCCATTGCCCAATAGGCCGCTTCCGTTTGCCCTTTGCCAGCAGCAGCAGCAGCAGCAGCAGAAGCAGCAAACGCAAACAACTTCCGCACTTGTTTAGCCAGCCATCCCGTCTCCTCTTCCTCTGCCGCTGCCTTGTCTTGCTCATTTTTGCCAGGAGGTGACATTTTTCGCATTGCGGTTTACCATAAACTATTTCATTGGGGAGTTGTTCCAGCTCCTACGTTAGTTCCAGTTCCACCTCCACTCCCGTACCCATTCCCCAGCATCTGCTCCGGCATTGTTTGCTCGTGTGCGTTTGCCATCTCTCCTTCGCCATCCTCCATCCTCCATCCTCAGATGAGAGTCGCGCTCTCGGATAGTCGGGGGGTTTTTTTTTCCCTGTTTGCATATCTGTAAACTTTATTTGTCAACGGGACGCATATGTTGTGTTTGCCAAAAAATAAACGAATACCCCCCGCTTCCTTCCATGTATTCGGAGCACTCCCCATTGCATTCAGTTCTTGTGTGTGTTGGTTGTTCCGTTTAATTTTCGCTTAATTTGATTTGCTGGCTGCAGGAAGTGCCACGAGGAAATGGCAGTGGGTGGCTGACAAATCTATAAGACCATGAGCTATAGTACTTGTTCTACTTCAATGATTAATGAGACAGCGAGAGAGATAGAGAGAGCGGGAGGAAGACAGGGTGTTGCCGGAATTAAGTATGCGCCATGTGTGTCTTTGGATGGGACTTTGACAGGAAGTTTCATATGATTAAGATGCTAATCCAGATGTATGTATACCAAGTTGATATGTAATGCTGTCCAATGATTTCAGTATATTTCCTCTACTTCTTTATAGCTTCTGTTATTTAAAGAATATTCTGAAACATCTTCAGTCACCTTTACAGATCTGCAACCATCTGTGCATCTCTCTTTCCTAATGCAATCACAAGTAACTCCACTCTCATCATCTGGGGACTTCATATTCATAAATTTGATCATTTCAGGCTCCTGCTTCCCAGACTATCATAATTATTAACCCTATTATGCAGTTACTTATGCCAGTCATCCGTCTTTGCCCCTTTCTCACACTCTTTCTGCCATTTTGCCGCTCAGCCTTAGACATATGCCCAGGCCAACAAATCTACTTAGAACTGAAGCTGGAGCTGGAGCTAGAGCTGGAGCTGAAACCTCGACTCAGTCACAAAACTTTAGATGGAGAGAGAGCAAACTTTTGTGCGGGCTGGGCTAAGTGCAAGTCTTTGGGTAAACTTTTGCATTTTTTTTTCTTGCTCCTCCTGCTGGAGGACGATTGCGACTAAGACGTAAGACATAAGAGCCTTGGGTGCCCGGTTGCCGTTGCCGGGTCCGTTGCCATTGCCTGGTGGACAGTGGAAGTTTCCCTCTTGGCGGCTGCACTTTTCTCTGGCTCACATCTTTCTGTGGTCAGCTTACTAACGACTTTTCGATACCGACCGAAGGCCGAAAAACTTTTGCGCTTGGCCTAGGAGATAAAATTTACCGATTGCCAGCTGGAGGAGGTGCGGCTATGCCGCACCTGTTCCCTGGGCTAATCCTGGGCGGCAGCGAGTGGGTGTGCGGAGTGCGGGCCCGGTGGCATGCATATTAATAAGCTGCACAAATGTTTGTCGGCAAACAAAGTGCCAGGATGAGAATGACGATGAGGCAGGGGCTCAGGACGCAGTGCCGTGTAGTTCCAGTCTATTAAAAGGCACAATAGACGCCGTTCCGTGGCCCATGGAAAGCGCTGCCGCCCCCAGCCGGATGGGAGCAGGGCCATGCGATGCTTCATTTCCGCTTCCTCGGAACAGAAGGAGCGCCGAGGGAGTAAAAGCGTTACTCACTCAAACTGTTTGCCGTTTAGTTTCGCATAAAGCGTAGTCTTCCCTGTAAAATGCATAAATCTTTGTTGGCACTCGAGCGGGCTCTGTGTCTGGGTCTGTGTCTGTGTCCGGAACTGGAGCCCCGTTCACTCCTGCTTTCGTTTGGCCTGCAGCTGCTTGGGCGTCTTATTTGTTGCACGTTTCATTTGTCAAAAAAGGTTTAGGTTTAGCTATTTTATTGCCAGCACCCAGTCCGTCGGCTGCTGCAGTGCCAGCAGGGGCTCGGATGGGTTTAAGTGGCAACTGCTGCTGGGAGCAAATGATAGTGCGATAATTTGTACACGGCCAAGACAAATGCAAGGTTAGCTAAAGGGTGGCAAAAACTGAAAGAAAAAATATGAATGAGACTGAGAGAAAATACTTGATTGAAAAATGATACGAGCCGAGTGACCTCTTGAAAATCTATTACTCAGGAAAACTTCTCAATTTTCTGTCGAAAGAACACAATATATTCCGACTAGCAAATCAACGTCCAAGCCCGAAATAGTCCAATGGCGAGTAACGTGATATTTATTGTCACTCTGTGCATATTCTCTGTGTGCTTCCTGACCATATGGAAGTACTCGGGCATGGAACACGAGGATAGAAAGTTCAAGGCGATCCTGATAACGTTCTTTATGGTGATGCTATTTCAGTTCCTGGTTTTCGATCCATTACGATTTTTGGTACTTGCCATTGACGCGGCCTGCTGGCCAAGGCTGCAACGGCCGCCCGTTCCGGACCCGGAAGCAAAGAGGCACACCCGCATGGACTATCTGAAGCTGCGGCTACGCAGCTTGCGCAGTCAGCTATTGATCACGGAGAAACATCGCAACGAGGAGCTGAACCTCAAGTACAGGACCATTGTCCGCGAGCTCTGGGTGTACGGAAAGTTGTTCCTTATTCACTTGTTTCTGAATCTGGCGCTGGTGAACCGGCTGCTGTACTACAATGGGGAGTCCATCGAGAACCTAATGAAGTATAATCACACCGATTCGATTGGCCTGAGCAACGTACTGTTCCTACATCAACTGTATCCCTTCATTGAGCACACGCTGATCAATGGCTTCTTGAACAATGATCATCATCGTCTCACCTCGCACTGGAACCATGTGAATAGCACACAGCTGGTGGGCGTAATACAAATGCGGCTGTTACGGGACACCGGAGAACATTACGGCTTAAGTGATCCGGAGTACACCAAAAAGGAATATTCCGAGGGCTGGAGCCTGCCTAATGTACGCGAACCCTACACCAACAAGTACTGGTCCATCTATCTACCTTGGCTGCCGATGTCCAAAAACTACAGTTTCTTTGAGAAATTTTTTCTTAGCATTAGACAGTACGGATACTTTGCAATGTATCCCGAGCTGACAGGCTACGCAACTACTCTGCGGAATACGAGGAAGGACAGCATTAAGGTGCTCGAATATCTGTACGAAAAGAATTGGCTCGACCAAAGGACCGCAGCTCTCTTCTTGGACTTCACGCTGTACAATGTGGATGCAAATATGTTCAGTGTGATCACTCTGCGGTTCGAGAATCTGCCCTACGGCATTATACACAGCAGCATGTACGTCAATAGTGTTTCGTTGACGGAGTCGGCGGAGACCCTGCCATGGTTTGGCATGATTTGTTTGTTCGCCTACGTGATTATCTGGCTGGAGCTTGGCATGACCGTGATTGTGCCCTTGTGGTTTGAGCCAAAGCGATTGAAGTTGTTCTGGGTGAAAATTGACCTGGCGATCCTATTACTCAGCATGATAGTTGTGACCTTAATGGCTATGAGGGATGGCGTTGTCTCCAGACTGCTCGCTGTATTAGAGATGTCCAACACGCTTGATTTCATTGACTTTCGGATACCGGCGCGCATGACCGAGTTTACCGTGATTTTAATGGGCTTCCTCGTCTGCCTGGTCACGTTGCGTCTGTGGAAGGTGATGCAGTTTTCCAGCATCTTTCAGGTCTTTACGATGACGCTGTCCTTGGCCTGGCAAGCGCTCTTCAGCACGGCCTGTGTGATCGGCATTTTCATGATGGGATTCGGCATTGCCACGGTCTGCATTAATGGCAACAACAGTGATAACTTTAGGAGCCTGCTGCAAGGCATGGCTACCGTAATGTGCTTCTCCTTTGGCTTCACTAGCCACGTCGCGCCGAAAGATCTCTTCCACGGTGGCTTATGGATGGGCATTCTTATCTACGGCATAATGTCCTTTACCATCGCAATATTGCTAACAAATGTGTTCGTGTCGATACTCAACAACTACTTTACCGCAGCCAAGGCAGTGCGAGATCGTAAACGCAAGGATCAGATCTCATTCTGGGAATTCCTTTGCGTCGAGTATGCGGACATCATCCGTACCGTACGGGAAGCATTTGGGTGTGAGCACAAGTACAGGCGCAAGAACCGCACCGTTGCCGAGAACATCAAGCACACGATGGACCTTCAAGCGGCTGCTGTTGCTTCAGCTCGTTTCAAGCGGGGAAAAGGCCATAAGTCGTCAATTAAGTTGAAAGGCGGGGTCGTGACGGATGATGAAGCCGAGGAACATGAGCGCAAGGCGCAGGCCCAGCACAAGGATCGCATTGCCAGGACATACACGATAGCAGCCATTCTCCAGACGCAGATGGAAATCGCTGAGCGAACCCTCTTCGGCGACAAGGAGGGAAATCTCCTCGGCGAGGACGAGAATGACCTGCACGAGCAGGTTCCGGATCTTCCCAGACAATACGTGTAAAGTGATATCTGAATTTTGTCTGCAAGTGTCTGCAGGAAAATAATAATATTATAAATACATATGTGTATGTGCATTCAGTTAAACTGGTTGAGGGTTCGCGGATCGGGGTTCGGAATCCGGGGCTCGAGGGATTTTTGTTTTATGTCATGGGTAAATAATTATGCGCAAACAGGCCAAACTTTTGACTTCAAAAGGCTTTTAAGGCAATTTGGCGCTCGCTTTCTTCGACTTGTTTGCTAGCGTGGCATTCTGGCTGCGGTCCAAGTCCAAAAACTAAATGACTTATGTATATAAAAGGGTCCTCTCATTCCCCACCCCCACCGCCCCACTCTATTGTTGTGGTGTAAGCAAATAAAAATTGAATACTACTAGCTTTTAGGCTGTGCAGCGCCGCCTGCAGAACTATTCTTGGTGAAATCTGAGCTCCAGCAAACATTTTCAAGCATTTTCCAAAACCAACGACGCATCTTCTGGCCAAACTAAACAATTGCTAAACTTTTGCCGCCCTACGTCGTCGCCGTCGCCTTCGCCTCTTTTTATCCATCAGCAGACAGGCAGACAAAGGGTGAGAGAGAGGGAGAGACAGAGAGTCTGAAGCGGTTTTTCTATATTTTTTGTGGCACTTATGTCACTTGAGGGAATTGAACGAAACTTTTATAATTATTAGCAACAAATGAGCAGTGACAGAGCGCTTTTAGCATGACTGTAACTTTACCTCCTTTGGCTTCCTCTCACTGATTTTGGTCTCCTCTCCGCTTTTTGCCGCTCTGCCCAGACAGAGAATCACAAATGATCCCCGCCCCCAATTTAAAAGTTTTAACTACCTGACTATTCTCTGTGCTCCACACTCCCTTCCCTTCCCTTCCCCACCCTCCATGCGGATGTGAAGTATGTGGCTACGTACCCAAAGACAAACGGCAAAAGAAAGAGTGCCCGAATCAAAGCCACCTAAAGTTACATATCTCCCACATTTGTGTGTGTGTGTGTGTGTGTACCTCTGTGTGGGGTGGAAGAGTTGGGCAGAAAGTTTTTAATTTTTGATCGCTTTTTGCATGGATACCACAATCAGCAGTGCAGCTAAAGCTAATGCTCTCACTTTACGTATAGCTCCAAAAATGTGTTCCCGTCCCCGAAAAGTTGCATCGAAAAGTAAGCTGTAGGTACATATAGTCATAAAATAGGCAACTGCAATAAATTTCGAAGCACTAGACAGCATCAGAAAGCTGCAAAACATTGTTCACAATACTAAAATGCGAGAAGTTGCACAACATTAACATTGTTGAGCTCCAACTCCCTGTCGAAGGCACTCGACTGTGTATTTTTTGCAGCTAAAAATATGCAATAGGCGCGCACTTCGTACGCCAGGCCAGCAAATTATGATCATCACGAAAGCTGCATGCTACGGCATTGTGCATATAGAAAACATTGACCGAAAAGTATGCTGTAGAGGATTTTAATTGATCGATAAAAATACTTAAATAGGCGTGAAGAAAAAAACCGAAAACCAAAAAACAAAAACCGTTGGGGACAATTATTTTATATACCTATTTCTCCACTGCAAAAATGAAGACTTGCTCTAATCTATCTGGCAGAAATGGTCACGGTCCCATGCTTGCTATAATATCCACTTCCTAACACTCTGTAAACTGATCCCTTGATCGACTTGCTCAGGCTTTGAAATTTAAGATTTAAATTTGTAGCCACGAAAGCCATAATAGGATAAAGATAACCCCAAGAACATTTTATTTGCAACATTTTTGTTCAATTTCTCTGCCTCTGCTCACTTGATGGGCACACATTTCTCTTAAGTCGGAAAGCTCTTAGCAAAGAGCAGCTGCTGAATGGAAAGCAGCGAAAGCTTTCTCTCTGCCACAACAGAGCGAACGAACGTCGTTCCGCAGGGCTTTTGGGCTAAAGTTCTGACAAAGATATAGATGTACACATGTATATCCTGGCATGTGCTATCTCTACAGGCAGGAGTCATGGCAGGAATTTAATTCATGACTAGAGTGCCGTGTCCTCGGCCGTATACAGCCAAGGTTAAGTATTGCTGCAACGGCAAACACGTCACTTTTTGAGTCCTGAAGTCCAGAGGCGCAACTCTCGAGCCTTTCGTTTGCCTCCTGCCTTTGCCTCTCCTTATTCCTTATTTTTATTTGACCCGCTGCTTGAGCACGAATCTCCCAACCTTAGAACTGTCGACCCATCATCTCGATTTCTGTTTCGCAGCATGGATGGACGGATACCATAAACAATTGCGGAGGAAATATTATATATGTACGTACAGCGGGTCTTTGTTGGGTCTTTGTGGGTTGCACCAACTTTTGCTTTGTCTCTAATCCACGGCGAAGAAAAGGAGAATCCTTTTGATTGAAATTTCCCCTCACACTGATGGCCGAGTGGAAAGGAACAACAATCAGTTTAGACAAATGATATTGAACCTAAAAAAGACAGAAGACAAACCACGGACCGGCATAATTAGACCTTGTCACGCTTGGGACGAGACCTAGAGCCCCCCCCCCCCCACCCACTCTTTGAACATGATTTGCATAAAACTCGGACGGGGAAATTTTAAAGCCTCGCTGACCTTTCGTGTATCAGTCTGCAACCGAAAACGAAAACTCCCCAAAAACAAAAAACCTTTTTTAATTTACACGACACGTTGCTCGAGTCGCATTTTTTGTCCGGTGGGATACACTTCACTGCTGGGCAACAGCAACAGCTACAGCAACACCTTCAACGGCAATAAAGCCGAAAGCAATGCAAGAAATATTGAAGCAATCAAAAATGTAAATGTCACTACGTGAATTGTTAAACAAATCCTTCCTTCCCTCAGAACTCAGATTTGGCCCTTGGGCTCTTCTCTGAGTGGGCGGGCCGATAAATCTGCTTTAATTTATACACATACAAATGTTTTTGTTGGTTGCGTATTTATCGCAAAAAGTTAATTGCCAGCCCGTGCTCTCTATTAATCATATTCCGTAATTTGTTTAGCCTAATTAGCCTTATAGATAGAAAACCGAGGGGAGTAGTCCCCATGGGATAAGCCATAAGCCATTGGCCTGCCTTGCGGATCATTAGCGATGGTCCAAAGAGTCTTGTGTCACTGCTAGAAAGTGGAGCATGTGGCGTTAGGTCAGTATTAATTAAATTTGGGATGGTTTTAATTCAGAGTTAACTTTTCTCTCAATTGATTCTATATTTAAGGAGGATTTTATAAGAATTTTAACTAAAACTAATTACGAGTGGAAAATGAACCAAAGCTTCAGGTTTCTACAGCGCACTGATTTATCGCTTTCTTCGTCAAAAATTCAGGTATAGAATAAATTCTGACCTCTTTTCTCCAAAATAGCCTTGCCTTGCCATTCCGTGGTTTCATCCAGTTCCCCGACGCAGTGTCAACTTTTTGAGGAATTTGAGGAATAATTAAATTAAGCGACAGACTAGAAAATAATCTTAGCAAGCCTTCTCCGACTGTGCTTTCGGGTGTTGTACCCAGTGGTGGCATCTGCATCAGGTTCCGTGTTAAGTGAAATGTCGCCTGGCCATTATTCAGCCATTTTGTGTCTTGTCGACAAACAAAATTAACAGCCAGCAGAAAACATCTACGTACCAACAGACAACACACAAACAGAGAGGGGACCGAGGAGTATAAGCCACTCATAAAGTTTCGCAACTAGGCTGGCTCCGAATCTGAATCTGAACCTGAATCTGGTTGCTGTTCTGCCGGATGAACTTCATTTGCGTTCCTTGTCGGCTTTTTTTTGGTACTGTCCCAACATGCGCGACATTTTTTAATGCACAATTCGTGTACTGCTGGGAGAATTTCGCTGTACGAGTACCAGCTCCTACTCTCCCACTTTCCATGAACTCGTTGTGCTGTTTCTTTTTTTCTTTTTGGCCATTAACAGCAATTACAAAATGGCAAACAAAAACCTGCTAACAAAAAAAAATAATAGGGCATGGACGCAGGGCAAGGGCAAACTTTTAATTATTTAGACGAGCAAACGCAAAAGTCGCTTTGTCACATTTCATATATATATATTTTTTTGTTGCAGATGTAGATATTTTTTCAGAGGTAAACTTAATTATGCAGCGACTTCTGTCTCCCTATATGCAATTTTCGGTTTTTATAATCACAAGCCCAGCAACCACTTGCGACTTATTAAATTAAAGGCAATCCAAGCGCGATGGAAACCTGTCCCTAAGAAATTCCCATTGCCAACAGTGGCATGTGTGCCTGTCGAAGGCGATAACATATGCCAGGGATTGTTGCGGCTCCTGCTTTGGCTTTTGGCAGCTGCTGGCAAGTAGCTCACCCTTTATCTGTGCGCACGAACCCAAAATGGCCATTTAAATTGTGCATCTATGCATGAAATACGCGCTGAAAGCGCTTAAGATAAGCGCAAGCGGAAACTAACACGTTCATGTGTGTGTGTGATGCGAAGGGAGGAGCAAAAAAGGAAAAACAGGAGAAGCTTTGGCAGTTCAGGCGGTAATCAGTCGCCGAGAGGTTTATTCAAGACAACGTAGACAGCTTTACAGGAACAGAGGCGAGGAGTAGGCAAGTGGAGACGAGTGGTAGGCCAAAGGAGCGGCCAGAGGAGCAGCTGCATACTTGGCGATTACTGGCGCGGCCAGAGGAGCAGCAACTGGAGCTATCACGGGGGCAGCAGCGATTCCATTGTAGTTCCTGGCAAACACCTGGCTACTGGTGGCGGTGACAACGGGAGCAGGAGCAGCTACGAAGGCGGCGGGCGCAGTGTAGGCTAGAGGAGCACTTAGGAAGCCAGGCTTGGCAGAGGCGCAGGCCAGGATGGCGAAGATGACAGCAGCCTGCAGATGGAAATGCAAATGCATTAGGCCACGGATTCGCAGTCATTCGCAGTCTTCAGAATTGTATACTCACGAATTTGAACATATTGTTGGGGTTGTTTGGTTGTTGTGAGCAGCTCGGAAACTTGAACTTGTCTGATGTCGCTTAACACCATCCCGGGCGGTATTTATACCATGGATCGATGGCGCGACTCAGCCAGACTCAAAGTACGACTTTGACCTCGAATTTAGTGGCAAATCCGAGCCGACGCGCTGTACATTCAAGAGAAGGAAACACCACAAAGTGCAAGTGAAGCGGCACAGCGGGCCAGGCGTGGCATTTAAATGAACCACATAACGTACTCGGATTCGTACTTCTACTTGTTGTGGACACAAGTCAATGCGGCAGACAGACTTGGGTATAAATAAGCAGAGCTAACGGCAGTGGCTATCAAACGCAATCATCCCTCAAACAAGCAACACCAACATGTTCAAATACGTAAGTTCTTCTCGGAAGAGTGCGGGATAAAGTAACAACATTGAGCAACATCTTTCTCTTCCACTTGCAGGCTGCTGTCATCCTCGCCATCCTGGCCTGTGCCGCCGCCAAACCCGCTTTCCTGAGTGCTCCTCTGGCCTACAACGCCGCTGTCCTTGCTGCACCTGCTCCCGTTGTCACCGCCACCAGTAGCCAGGTGTTTGCCAGGAACTACAATGGAATCGCTGCTGCCCCCGTGATCGCTCCCGTTGCTGCTCCTCTGGCCGCGCCCGTGATCGCCAAGTATGCTGCTGCTCCTCTGGCCGCTCCTTTGGCCTATCACTCGGCTCCTCTTGCCTACTCCTCGCCTCTGGTCAGTGCGCTGGCTTACTCAGCCCCTCTGACCTATGTATAACACCTTTTCTGCCCAAGCTCCAGTTCTGTTGTAAGAATCTAGAATGAACAATAAACATCTCTTAAATCCATAATTAACAGCGTCTCACCTGGCGGGGACAATTTTAAGTGAATCATCAGCTGTCTATGGCGAATACAAAACACGACGGCAGCTACTGTCCATATACAAGACTCTTTGTTTTTTCCCGAGTGCATGCAGCTCACGTAGCCAGCGGACGAGTTATTGGTCACTGGTGGCCGCCGCTGGATGCGTGACGTTTAAGATGAATAAAGAGTTTTGTTTGTCAGGTTTTTTTAGCATTAGCGTTCAATTAGGCCAAGGTCGCAGGGCCGCAAACGCTTTTTAAAGTACAATGAACTTTCCGAAGGTTTGTGTCACTCTTTGACTGGGATATTTTGTGTATCTGATATTAACACCAACAACAATAGAGGTTTTATAGATGTATGTTGTTGATAAAATTGAAAAATATTACCACTACTGTGTAGCAATATAAAATGTATTCTAAAAAGCTAATATGTATAATAAGTACAAATAAGAGAAGCATATTACACACGCGTTGGCATCTCTCAAACTAATTAAGAACGAAAGAATAATAACAATCAATTATGACTAATAGATTATACATCCTACAAGTGGTAGCTACGGATTTATATTTTTGAACACATATTTATGTACATAATTTATAGCGACTAAGTTTCTGTCTTTCCCTACGAAGCAATAGAGAAGACAAATGCTGATACCACCAAAGCATCTATGGGAGATGGACGAGTAATTCCTTTCAGGCGAACGCGTATTGCCATATACATATGTCGGTACATACATATGTAAGTATTTCATAATATAAATATGTATGTATATGGCAATTTCCACAGTTTTGGGTCAAAGGTGAACATAAAAGCCTGCTTACTGCTTTGGGACTATCAATGCTTGCAATGAGTTAAATCTAACTCAAAATCAGAAAATGAATTATCCTATCCCATTTCCAAGGTAACAGTTCACCCTTCGACCTTGACATTATTGCTGTATAGCTGTATACAGAAACTAACCAAATAAACTAAAAAAAAAAAACAAATCAATTTCGAACAATTGAATTTAACGAACAATGGACACAAGCACCAGCTGATGTCTATGCGGACAATAATTTGTATTTCATTTACGTGACTAGCATTGTAAAGACTTCGAACTTGCGAGCAGTTTGTAGGGCCTTTGTTTTAAGGCTACCGTTGAATCCAATTAGCAGAGTCCGATGTCTTCCCCAAAATGCAACAAAGTCCAAGTTTCTTAAATTTGGATTTCTTTTATTGAAAGGTCCTTAAAACAGAACTGGAGCTGGGGCAGAAAAGGTGTTATAGGCCAGAGGGGCTGAGTATGCCAGCGGACTGGTCAGAGGCGAGGAGTAGGCTAGAGGATCCGAGTGATAGGCCAAAGGAGTGGCCAGAGGAGCAGCAGCATACTTGGCGATCACTGGCGCGGCCAGAGGAGCAGCAACTGGAGCGATCACGGGGGCAGCAGCGATTCCATTGTAGTTCCTGGCAAACACCTGGCTACTGGTGGCGGTGACAACGGGAGCAGGTGCAGCAAGGACAGCGGCAGGAACGGCGTTGTAGGCCAGAGGAGCACTCAGGAAACCGGGTTTGGCGGAGGCACAGGCCAGGATGGCGAGGATGACAGCAGCCTGCAAGTGGAAGAGAAGGATGTTGTTCAATGTTGTTACTTTATCCCGCACTCTTCCGAGAAGAACTTACGTATTTGAACATGTTGGTGTTGCTTGTTTGAGGGATGATTGCGTTTGATAGCCACTGCCGTTAGCTCTGCTTATTTATACCCAAGTCTGTCTGCCGCATTGACTTGTGTCCACAACAAGTAGAAGTACGAATCCGAGTACGTTATGTGGTTCATTTAAATGCCACGCCTGGCCCGCTGTGCCGCTTCACTTGCACTTTGTGGTGTTTCCTTCTCTTGAATGTACAGCGCGTCGGCTCGGATTTGCCACTAAATGCGAGGTCAAAGTCGTACTTTGAGTCTGGCTGAGTCGCGCCTTCGATCCATGATATAAATACCGCCCGGGATGGTGTTAAGCGACATCAGACAAGTTCAAGTTTCCGAGCTGCTCACAACAACCAAACAACCCCAACAATATGTTCAAATTCGTGAGTATACAATTCTGAAGACTGCGAATGACTGCGAATCCGTGGCCTAATGCATTTGCATTTCCATCTGCAGGCTGCTGTCATCTTCGCCATCCTGGCCTGCGCCTCTGCCAAGCCTGGCTTCCTAAGTGCTCCTCTAGCCTACACTGCGCCCGCCGCCTTCGTAGCTGCTCCTGCTCCCGTTGTCACCGCCACCAGTAGCCAGGTTTTTGCCAGGAACTACAATGGAATCGCTGCTGCCCCCGTGATAGCTCCAGTTGCTGCTCCTCTGGCTGCGCCAGTGATCGCCAAGTATGCAGCTGCTCCTCTTGCCGCTCCTTTGGCCTACCACTCGGCTCCTCTTGCCTACTCCTCGCCTCTGAACAGTCCGCTGGCATACTCAGCCCCTCTGGCCTATAGCACCTTTGCTGCCCCTGCGCCAGTTCTGTTCTAGGAACCTTTCAATAAAAGAAATCTGAATTTAAGAAACTTCGACTTGGTTGCATTTTTAAAAAGAAATTGGACTCTGCTAATTGGATTTAACGGTAGTTTTTAAACAAAGGCCCAGCAAACTGATCGCCAGTTTGAGGACTTTCTAATGCTAGTCACATAAATGAAATAAAAATTATTGTCCACATAGACAGCAGCTGGTGCTGGTGTCCATTGTTCGTTTAATTCATTTGTTCGAAATTAATTTGTTTTTTTGGTGTAATTTTAGTTGGTCATTTACAATAATGTCACGGTCAAAGGATGGCCATGAAAATAGGATTCGCTAATTAATTTTTAGGTGCCTTATATGCAGTGCCATGCAATACGTTGCAAGCTTTGACAGCCACAGGGCAGCGTGCCACCTTCATTGTACGCTTTCTGACCGTGATCTGTTTACCCCCAAATGTGACAGTCATATCGTGAACTGGCATACAATGAGTAGATCAATGGGTGAAATTTATCCATAAATTTGCATTTGGATGCAGTCGAGTTAAGAGATCGATTGGATAGGTATTCATCCAAGAATTGTGTGGCCCTTCCATCTTTACCTAAAATTATGATTTCACCCAGTTATACTTCGGATCTCCCACTACCCGACTAGTTCGTGAACTATAACATGCCAGCGTATCCAAATCGTCAGCAGTAGTTCCCAGAAAATTAATTTGAATTGTTTTTGTTGCTCAGAGGGTTTTATTTTTTAATTTCAATATTATTACTAAATTATCACAGGAACCGGCCTAAAAAAAGATTGGTTGAGGGGCTGCGGCGTAGCCCAAGGATGTTGTGTATGACAATGGAGCAGTGGCAGCATATTTTGCAATCAGGGGAGCCGCAAAGGGCAAGATTATGCGTGGGGCCACTGGTGCCACGACCTTGACAGCCGGAACTGGAGCTGCAACCGGCACAGAGGCAATCACGGGTGCCGCAGCAATGCCATTGAAGTTTCTGGCCACCACCTGGCTGCTGGTGGCGGTCACAACGGGAGCAGGTGCAGCAAACAGTGGGGCGGGAACAGCGGCCAGTGGAGCCGACAGAAGCAGTCCTGGCTTGGCGGCAACGCAGGCGATCAGAACGCAAATGACAGACACCTAGAAAGGTGGAATAAGATGATTATCGGACATTCAGGAAAATGCTGAACTCCACTTACGTATTTGTACATATTGATTTGGTTCGGTTTGAGTTTGTGGTTGCTTGAGGAGCGAAAATGTGTTTGATGCCCGGGCAACGTATTCGATTTATTTTTATAGCAAATCGACAAGCGAACGTGACGGAGGTCTCCCAGGAAATTAGCATTCAGAGCGTACGCCTCTACGGCTAGCTGTAATAAGTGCGCTGCTTCTGTTGCGTGGCTATATCTATGCATGTCTACGCGTTTATAAAGTGCCAAAAAATACTCTCGTACAGGTGCTTTGCATACAATTTTCAGCTGCAAGTAAAGCAAAGTCAGAGCATCAGGAAATGTTCTTAAAAAGAGTGTTTTATTGGGATAGAGATGACAGACAATACCACAAATTTATGGCAACAAAAATTAAGGTTTAGCATCATTTCCGTTTAATCATGAAATAGGCAAGAAATTGAAATTTCCAATGCTAAATATGTTCAGTTTCTTTTTTACCATTTTCACTCACTTGTAGCACTAACCATACAGTATACTGTAAAAAAGAAAAGAAACTTGTCTATTTCATGCGTCTATTCCGATATCGATAGGACACGCGCTCAGTGTGAAAAGGCTATAAACACTAACCATACAGTATACTGTATACCGAATGGTTAGTGCGTATAGCCTTTTCAGCCGATATCGATATCGGAATAGACGCAATCAAGTAGAAAAGACGTTCACATTGGCAGAGGTGCGTCTAGAATTTTAATTTAGGTTTTGGCAGAAAACGGTTAAATTCAAATCTGAAATTAGAAACAGAATAGAAATGGTCGCAGCTTTTTTTAAATTCTCTTGTTTATCTTTGTATTTCGTTGCTCTCTCTTTTCGCTATAATTTTTCTCATTTTCTGCCTCCACTTTCCACCGCTCAAATGGCAGAAAACCGTTAAATTCAAATCTGAAATACCAGGCGCACAGAAATCAGCAGAAGGTGGCTGCTTTTTTTAAATTCTCGTTTTTTCTTGTTTCTCTTTGTGTTTTGTTGCTCTCTCTTTTCGCTCTAATTTTTCTCATTTTCTGCCTCCACTTTCCACTGCTCAAATGGCAAAAAACCGTTAAATTCAAACCTGAAATACCAGGCGCACAGAAATCAGCAGAAGGTCGCTGCTTTTTTTAAATTCTCGTTTTTTCTTGTTTCTTTTTGTGTTTTGTTGCTCTCTCTTTTCGCTCTAATTTTTCTCATTTTCTGCCTCCACTTTCCACTGCTCAAATGGCAAAAAACCGTTAAATTCAAACCTGAAATACCAGGCGCACAGAAATCAGCAGAAGGTCGCTGCTTTTTTTGAATTTTCTTTTTTTCTTGTTTATCTCTGATTTGTTGCCCCTCTTTTCGCTATAATTTTTCTCATTTTCTGCCTCCACTTTCCACCGCTCAGCAACCGTTAAATTCAAATCTGAGATACCAGGCGCATAGAAATCAGCAGAAGGTCGCTGGTTTTTTTAAATTCTCGGTTTTTCTTGTTTCTCTTCGTGTTTCGTTGCTCTCTCTTTTCGCTCTAATTTTTCTCATTTTATGCCTCCACTTTCCACCGCTCAAATGGCAGAAAACCGTTAAATTCAAATCTGAAATACCAGGCGCACAGAAATCAGCAGAAGGTCGCTGCTTTTTTTAATTCTCTTTTTTCTGTTTACTTTTATTTGTTGCTCCTTTCCTATTTTCTCATTTTCCGCCTCCACTTTCCACCGCTCAATGGCGACCGTAACAAACCGAACGGCGGACAGCAGAAGGTCGCTGCTTTTTTTAATTCTTTTTCTTGTTTATCTTTGTATTTCGTTGACCTCTCTTTTCGCTCTAATTTTTCTCATTTTATGCCTCCACTTTCCACCGCTCAAATGGCAGAAAACCGTTAAAATCAAACCTGAAATACAAGGCGCACAGAAATCAGTAGAAGGTCGCTGCTTTTTTTAAATTCTCGTTTTTTCTTGTTTCTCTTTGTGTTTTGTTGCTCTCTCTATTTGCTCTAATTTTTCTCATTATCTGCCTCCACTTTCCACTGCTCAAATGACAAAAAACCGTTAAATTCAAATCTGAAATACCAGGCGCACAGAAATCAGCAGAAGGTCGCTGCTTTTTTTTAAATTCTAGTTTTTTCTTGTTTCTCTTTGTGTTTTGTTGCTCTCTCTATTTGCTCTAATTTTTCTCATTTTCTGACTCTACTTTCCACCGCTCAAATGCCAGAAAACCGTTAAATTCAAATCTGAAATACCAGGCGCACAGAAATCAGCAGAAGGTCGCTGCTTTTTTTGAATTTTCTTTTTTTCTTGTTTATCTCTGTATTTCGTTGCCCCCTCTTTTCGCTATAATTTTTCTCATTTTCTGCCTCCACTTTCCACCGCTCATGGCAAAAAACCCTTAAATTCAAATCTGAGATACCAGGCGCATAGAAATCAGCAGAAGGTCGCTGGTTTTTTTAAATTCTCGGTTTTTCTTGTTTCTCTTCGTGTTTCGTTGCTCTCTCTTTTCGCTCTAATTTTTCTCATTTTATGCCTCCACTTTCCACCGCTCAAATGGCAGAAAACCGTTAAATTCAAATCTGAGATACCAGGCGCACAGAAATCAGCAGAAGGTCGCTGCTTTTTTTTAAATTCTTTTTTTTTTCTTGTTTCTCTTTGTGTTTTGTTGCGCTCTCTTTTCGCTCTAATTATTCTCATTTTATGCCTCCACTTTCCACCGCTCAAATGGCAGAAAACCGTTAAATTCAAATCTGAGATACCAGGCGCACAGAAATCAGCAGAAGGTCGCTGCTTTTTTTTAAATTCTTTTTTTTTCTTGTTTCTCTTTGTGTTTTGTTGCTCTCTCTTTTCGCTCTAATTTTTCTGATTTTATGCATCCACTTTCTACCGCTCAAATGGCAGAAAACCGTTAAATTCAAATCTGAGATACCAGGCGCACAGAAATCAGCAGAAGGTCGCTGCTTTTTTTTAAATTCTAGTTTTTTCTTGTTTCTCTTAGTGTTTTGTTGCTCTCTCTTTTCGCTCTAATTTTTCTCATTTTCTGACTCTACTTTCCACCGCTCAACTGCAAGAAAACCGTTAAATTCAAATCTGAGATACCAGAAGCACAGAAATCAGCAGAAGGTCGCTGCTTTTTTTGAATTTTCTTTTTTTCTTGTTTATCTCTGTATTTCGTTGCCCCCTCTTTTCGCTATAATTTTTCTCATTTTCCGCCTCCACTTTCCACCGCTCAAATGGCAGAAAACCGTTAAAATCAAACCTGAAATACAAGGCGCACAGAAATCAGCAGAAGGTCGCTGCTTTTTTTAATTCTCTTTTTTTTCTTGTTTATCTTTGTATTTCGTTGACCTCTCTTTTCGCTCTAATTTTTCTCATTTTATGCCTCCACTTTCCACCGCTCAAATGGCAGAAAACCGTTAAAATCAAACCTGAAATACAAGGCGCACAGAAATCAGCAGAAGGTCGCTGCTTTTTTTAAATTCTCGTTTTTTCTTGTTTCTCTTTGTATTTCGTTGACCTCTCTTTTCGCTCTAATTTTTCTCATTTTCCGCCTCCACTTTCCACCGCTCAAATGGCAGAAAACCGTTAAAATCAAACCTGAAATACAAGGCGCACAGAAATCAGCAGAAGGTCGCTGCTTTTTTTAAATTTTCTTTTTTTCTTGTTTATCTCTGTATTTCGTTGCCCCCTCTTTTCGCTATAATTTTTCTCATTTTCTGCCTCCACTTTCCACCGCTCATGGCAAAAAACCGTTAAATTCAAACCCGAAATACCAGGCGCACAGAAATCAGCAGAAGGTCGCTGGTTTTTTTAAATTCTCGGTTTTTCTTGTTTCTCTTCGTGTTTCGTTGCTCTCTCTTTTCGCTCTAATTTTTCTCATTTTATGCCTCCACTTTCCACCGCTCAAATGGCAGAAAACCGTTAAAATTAAATCTGAAATACCAGGCGCACAGAAATCAGCAGAAGGTCGCTGCTTTTTTTGAATTTTCTTTTTTTCTTGTTTATCTCTGTATTTCGTTGCGCTATAATTTTTCTCATTTTCTGCCTCCACTTTCCACCGCTCATGGCAAAAAACCGTTAAATTCAAATCTGAGATACCAGGCGCACAGAAATCAGCAGAAGGTCGCTGGTTTTTTTAAATTCTCGGTTTTTCTTGTTTCTCTTCGTGTTTCGTTGCTCTCTCTTTTCGCTCTAATTTTTCTCATTTTCTGCCTCCACTTTCCACTGCTCAAATGGCAAAAAACCGTTAAATTCAAACCTGAAATACCAGGCGCACAGAAATCAGCAGAAGGTCGCTGCTTTTTTTAAATTCTCGTTTTTTCTTGTTTCTCTTTGTGTTTTGTTGCTCTCTCTATTTGCTCTAATTTTTCTCATTATCTGCCTCCACTTTCCACTGCTCAAATGACAAAAAACCGTTAAATTCAAATCTGAAATACCAGGCGCACAGAAATCAGCAGAAGGTCGCTGCTTTTTTTTAAATTCTAGTTTTTTCTTGTTTCTCTTTGTGTTTTGTTGCTCTCTCTATTTGCTCTAATTTTTCTCATTTTCTGACTCTACTTTCCACCGCTCAAATGCCAGAAAACCGTTAAATTCAAATCTGAAATACCAGGCGCACAGAAATCAGCAGAAGGTCGCTGCTTTTTTTGAATTTTCTTTTTTTCTTGTTTATCTCTGTATTTCGTTGCCCCCTCTTTTCGCTATAATTTTTCTCATTTTCTGCCTCCACTTTCCACCGCTCATGGAAAAAAACCGTTAAATTCAAATCTGAGATACCAGGCGCATAGAAATCAGCAGAAGGTCGCTGGTTTTTTTAAATTCTCGGTTTTTCTTGTTTCTCTTCGTGTTTCGTTGCTCTCTCTTTTCGCTCTAATTTTTCTCATTTTCTGCCTCCACTTTCCACTGCTCAAATGGCAAAAAACCGTTAAATTCAAACCTGAAATACCAGGCGCACAGAAATCGGCAGAAGGTCGCTGCTTTTTTTAAATTCTCGTTTTTTTCTTGTTTCTCTTTGTGTTTTGTTGCTCTCTCTATTTCGCTCTAATTTTT